CAATATAGGAAAAAAATGGAGGCAGGATGCCAGGGTTGTGACTGTGTGAATAGTGCAGTAGTCATTTGTCAAAGGCTCTTGTGTAAACCATACATTTATAAATCTTACTCAGTCCTTTGCAGGTACATAATAGCCATTGTTAATGCTGCAGTCATCAGAGGGTGGTGACACACACCCTGATGCCTGAAGAAAAAAGAGAAGGAAAGAGAGAGAAAAGAGGAGAGCAAGAGGATGAACTTCATGAACTTGAGCTGCTTGGTGTATCAGCACACTCAAAAAAATATGAGCTGCTATGAACATGACGAGGACATGCCACCATTCTGAACAAAGATGTTACCTAAATACTGTATGTGAAGATGAAAATGAATGCTGTCATTAGGAGGTGGTGCATCAGGTAAGCTATTATTCTGAGCTTTTATAAGTGGATGGTGGGGAGCAGGTGCCGGAGAATCAGCGGCAGAAAGGAAAGGTTGCCCTGACCATTGAAAGAGAGGGGAGAGGAGAAAGAACACAGCCCCTCGTTATTCCCCCGCTATGGGTAAAAATGAGGACGCTGTTTCCAAGGTTCTGTGGTAGTGGAGAACAGAGGAAGGAACCATAGAGAAGCACGCCCACCCAGCGGGGCACACACACATACTCAGAGTCAAGATCATACATGTATGCTAGTAGAAAGGCCACCCAGCATAGACACACACGACAAGGACACACCGCGAGACACACAGAGAAATGCTTTTATATTATGCACACCTAACTGTGCACAAGGACATGCATTCATACATGCATGCAGGTATGCTCATGCACACATATAAAACATGCAGGATAAAATGTCCAAATGCACGATTATCCACACAGAGGAACAGTTGACAGATATGATTATATACACAGTCATAAAAGATACCAAAAATCCACAAACACACGCATACAAATACACGCACACGTACACACACCTATGCTTGCATTGTGGTTGAGAAACTTATGGGCATCTGCCAGCGTGCTTCAAGTGCTCATTCTCCGGGGCCTCAACCTTTCTTTTTCAGCAGCAACACTGCAATTTGGGTGTGTCGTTGGGCCAGAGATAAGTATAGGCTGACTAATATGCACTTAGGACCCAGGGAGAAATACTTAGGGCTAAATGTTTAATTTGTGTTTGTACAACACATGTCCAATTTGGGGGCTGGTGTCTTTTTCAAAGAGCCTGACAAAAAATAATTAGGACTCTCTGGATCGGCCACAGGCTTAAAATGGTGGAGCGACGGTTTTCCGATGAAGGTGAATGACATCTGCAAAAAACAGCATGTGGGAACACTTAAATGTGCAACACTGTGGTGAGATGGAAGATAGCTGTTTAGCTCCATAGACAGGGTAAATAAAATAACAGTATTGCTAAGGGGGTTAAACGTGATGATGCGCCCTAAAACTGTAATAAAATGCAATTTCTTTTGCATATCAGGTAGGAGTGGATGTCTCATAAATGGCAAACTCACAGTCACAAGCTCGAAATTCAGAACTGTCCTCCACCTCCTCTGTTCAATCTCTCCCTTCATCTCACTCTCTCTTTCTCTCAGCCGTCAAATCTCTTAATCTTGAGCCTTTCTAACTGCTTGTACCCTCTCTCCACCACTAAAGAGTCCCTCTGTGCCACACCAGAGGAAAAGACCCCTCAGAGCCAAAGAAATATATGTGGCGTATTAGAATAGCGTGTGAGCGATGGATAGATTTCAGAGTATGAAAATTAGATCCTGAGGTTGGCCTCGCATTACATTAACACCAACGTGCACATTTTCAGGGCTTAACATAGGAGGCAAAGTAAAAGAAATTGAAATTGATATTTAGAATTTTGTTTAAAATAAATGTGTTTAAAAAAAGGGTTTTTAACAACAGCTAAATGTGTGCATGTTGATGTTGGAAAAGAAACACAGTGTGAGTGAGTGTGTGTGTGTGTGTGTGTGTGTGTGTGTGTGTGTGTGTGTCAGAGAGATGTAATCAGAAAATGGAATTGCCTGTATCAAATCAGACAATTAAATAAAATCATTATCTGTGCAGCTAAAGGCCCATAAATTAAGATGCATTTTATTTCTAACTGAGCAAATGAATCTGTATGATTTGAAGAAAAAAAATACACAAAATGTAGCATGAGAATTAAAAATGTTTCTCATCAGAACTCATTTTTCATCTTGTAAATTATTTTAATTTTATATCACAGGCGGAGATTAACTCCAATGTACCACAGAAATTAGGGGCATTTGATTTTATGGTCGGCTCATAATAGTGATTTCGTGTTGCTGACAGAATCCTAATGGACCACACAGTGACCGGCCGCTGTACCCAGGCTTGTCCGCCTGTTGTCAGCGCACAGAGGAAGAAAAAAAAAAGAAAAAGAAAAACGCTGCAGGTCTCCCACAGACAGCGGAGAGAGCGCAACCATGCAGCCCGGGACAATGTGCTGAATTGGCAGCCTATATATAAGTCTGCCATTTGGACACTCTAATGCCACTTTACCTTATGAGGGAACTTCAACCCGCAGCACCTGCTCAAAACAAAATGCCATAGATCAACTTCAGCGACCCCCTCTGCTCGGATTGTTTTTCAGACAGACACTCTCACTTACAAGAGAGGGGGGCGGTGGTCTATAAATTGTTCTGCCAGAGTCCAAACAATTAAAACAACTTGTTGGAAATTGTGATTTACTGCGCAGGCCGGCGTGGGCAGGTCCAAACTGGCAGCTGGAGAATCTGTCAAGCCGGCCAATTATAACTCTGAATAGAGGAGTGATATGATGTGCAAACAAAAATGTGGATGCGCAAAACAATTAAAGCTGATGCTGGTGGAATTGCGCTTTCTCTCCAAAAACTCCAAAATATGCCACGTGATTCAGTTACAACACCTTTAAGTTGTTTAAAATCACAAATCACATAAGCAATCGACCGGACTTCCTTCCTCTTTGGCGGTTTTCAAACTCATTTTTGTCAAGCATGTATGATCTCTCTCTCTCTCTCTCTCTCTCTCTCTCTCTCTCTCTCTCTCTTTCTCTCTCTCTAAAAGCTCCTTATCTGCAGGCGAGCGGCGGCTTATCTGAGAGGTGTAGTGTGGCCCTAAATATGGGGAACACCCTGAAGTGACTTTATCAGTCTTTTCCAGGCCGTTGTCGTGCGCCTTGTCCTCCTATACCCTCTGTCACCTCCTCACCGTGAACTCGGGGGCAAACTTTCACACATGGAGTCAGACCCAGCTGATTGTCCGAGCCGCGCACTCCTCGCTCCGGATAAGAAACTCGCCCCTGCACGCATGGCTCAAGTTCACACACCCACAATTAACTTCCATACATAAACCATCGCTGTCACTGCATCAGGCTGCGCCACTAACAAGTGAAATTGGCGTATTCTATCACCCGGAAAGTTAAGACGCACGGTCCGAACTTTTAACGATGTAACAAAGAAAGACAATGATCGCCCTTTAAAATCATGTGAGGGGGAGAAAAAAAAGAAACTTACAGACTAATTTCTCAACTCTCCCGCCGTGCTGGGACACTGTCCTGTTTTCCCCCGGTATTGTCTCCCAATGGATCCGCGTTAGGGCTCCGAGTCTATTTTAATTTATGACTCACGCATTCTTCTAGGGTCAGTCGCCGTGACCCCCGGGGGGAAAGTTAACTCGGGCCCTAAAGGCGCACAGCTTTCTCCCGAGTTTCTCCTCTCTGCAGTCTATTTGTATCTATTGTATTCCAGTACATGTGAGGGAAGCTCGGGGCACCGCAGAGTCGCTGCGGGGTGAACTGTGCGTCTTCGGAGGTGCGCAGTGGCCGGGGACGCGCACGAGGATTGCAGTCTGTCCGGCAGAGCGCGAGGCGTTCACGATTATGGTCAGAAGGCTACCGCTGTGTGGCCGAAGAGGAAACTACTCAAAGTATCATCCTCAGACTGTACGAGCCCTCTTATGTCTTTAAACCGAATTAAAGAAGGTTATTTTTTTTAATTAAAGTTCTCTTTTATCTTTTTTTTTTAATTTGCTATCAAATATTATTTTATCCAAAGCTTATTTTGCGCATGATGATTCGGAGACTCTTTGTCAATGTCTCTTAATGGGTTCTGAGCTCATAGAACCATTTTCTGGTGCTACAGAACCGCTCCTGTTAATAGTGGATGACAGGGGTGTGGTGGAGGATGGATACAGTTAAAGTGAAGTTAATGCCTCTGCTTTTCTTGCACAATATAGTTGCATCTTTTATGGCTGAAAGGAACCTTGAATGTTTACTTTTAGGTGTACACCTAATATCTTAAACTGGGAGAAAAAGGTGGAAATGCGATTAATTTCCACGTGTTTGGAAGTCAAATTTCTGTTCATATCTGTGTGGTTTGTGGGATCACAGATTTAATGTTCTGTAATTGTATTTCACCCCTCAATCGCCTGCTCTAATGAGTCTAAGTGGATAAAAGTGATGCAAAATCACAACTTTTTTTTACAAAGTTTTTATAAACATGTTTCTCAGTTTTAGGCTCATCTCACAACCACATGGTTCTTATGGGCTTCTTATAAGCTCAATAATTGTTATTATAAAGGGGAAAATCAATATTTCTATGCAATATTTGCATGTGTCATATAATTAATCTGTAAATAACAATAATATAACAACAAACTCCCGATAGTGGTAATTATAATTGTTTTATCACAAACCTAACATACTTGCGTTGCGTTGCATGTGTTTTGAAGACACATTTTAAGTCAGAACATTCATAAATTACTCCACAGAATATTTTAGACACCTTAATATAGAACTTTTTGTATTCTGTGAGTTACTTTTTGCAGGTCATGTAGGGTCGACCGAGTCTAATCACTGTCCAACAGCGAGTTTAAAGACACTGATGGCCCCTGAATCTTCTGATGTCATCGCTGTTTGTTGGAAAGCAGAGTTCAGCGGAGTGCGCACCGACTTTTAAAAACAACCGACGCGCCGGGTGACGGTCCCGGTGCTGTCCACACAGATGCAACAGGACTTGTCTTACCTGCATTCACTTTTTTGTCATTCGCTGCGTGTTTCTGGCAAACTTGAAGATTGTTGTGTGCGATGATGGAGAGTTTCAGCGTCGAGACCAAACAAGAGGAGTCAGTTCAAATAGCCTTCAAATCCCGTGCGTAAAGTCACCATCGCTGGAACGTGTCGGGGACTTTGGTAACTCCTCTGTTTGCGCTCCGCCGAGAATCAGAAAGGAAAATAAAACACTTCGGCGTCGTCGTCAGGGGCGATGGGCTACTGAGTCAGATGAACTGTCATTCGGAGTTTTTTTTTTAAAAGTATTTAAAGTAATTTCCCGTCTGGCACTATGTGGAGGTTAAGTGAGAGTGCGGGACGGTGTTGGGTAAAGAGGCAGAAGCAGGATAACCCCTCCTCTCTCTCTCTCTCTCTCCCTCTCTCTCTCTAACTCTCTCTCTCTCTCTCTCTCTCTCTCTCTCTCTCTCTCTATCTATCTATCTGTCTATCTATCGGTCTATCTAGCTGTCTATCTATGTCTCACTTTCTTTATGTGAATTGTCCTCTAAAACATCAAAGTGATTGTTTATTTGAACTTTTCCTCTTATTTCTGTCCTCTTATTTCTGTCCTCTTTTCTCTCTGTGTGTTTGTAGCCTATATGCGCGCGTGTTTGAGCGTGCGTACTGGTCACCTGCTCTTGGCGACCACTTTAAATAATAAATTGAATAAATTATTGTTTTTATTGCTTTTATTTTACTCTGCACACATTTTTTCTTACAAACATTTTCAGTGTGTCAGAAATAACTACAGTGATGCAGCAGCCTTATGTTTGTTTGATTGTTTGTTTATTAATTAAAAAATGTTGATAAACAAATAAAAGTAAAGTTTTCTCTGCGCTAATATTTTGCATTGTTTAATGAAGGAATGCCTCACCCACGGTCGTTTAGCATTAAAAATTCCCATTTTCGGAATCAAATGTGATTCAGTCTGCGATTAAATTAAATCTCTTCTCGAAAATGTCCTCTCCCGTCTTCTCTGAGGCATAACCGATACAGTAAAGTCTTTAAACTTTGATTCATCTATTCTTCATCTTGCACAAGAGAAAAAAAAACATTGACATTGAAAACATTAAAGGAAAGTGTCTGGGTTCATCTTTATAAATTAAACAAAAGAGTTAAGACTTAAAGGTGATAAAAAGGACTATAAGCCCTAACGCAAACATCTACTTTGATATTTCGACGACTGTGTGTTGCAGTAATTGAGGTTTTAGCGTCCTGTCGGAGCTGTGAGCGCCTCTGGGCTGCTGCTGTATTACGTTTACTCTTGCGCCACCCTTTGGCGGCTTTAATGCATGTCGTCCAATAGAGGGTTCACTTTACACTGTAGCCTTCATGTTCATGACCACACGAACAGCCAAAGGAAGGCTTTTTGAAATGAATAGCTAAATGTAGTCTAACTGAATGAGAACAGGTTATAGAAAAGTAAAATATCCAGATTCAAGTTATTATCCTCCAAACTGAAATTATACAGATTTGGAAGGCTATTAATTATCAGGCTATCAGTTAAGAGTTTTTTAAATATCCTGATCCTCACTTGATGAATCAGAGCTATTTTGTTTCTACGTTAAAATGCATTTTAGGTCTAATAAAAACATCTTAAATTACTTCAGAGATGAGTCGTTGTGTTTTAAATCACAGATGACTAAAATTCCCTTTTAAAATGCCTCTTCATGTTGACAAGGACAGTCAAACATTAGCTCTATAAAGCAGTTTATTAGGCCAATTTATTAGGCTAAATATTTGTTATATTCTTTTTTGCTGTTATATTTATTTTCTTAATGACAGAAGTATATGTCTTTGTACATGATGTAAATAAAAAATATCCACATTTGTTATTTGCTATAGAAATTGGCCTACCTGTTTTTCCCCTCAATAGGCCTACTTCTGAGGACTTTAACGTCATAATGTGACCACATTGTTGTATCCGTAAGTTCAATACACCTCTCTTCTCGTATATGCTGTATAATTCTGTTGGTGGCAGTGGTTTTCAACTGGTTTTCAAATTGGCTCAAATGGTTTTGGTGAACAGCTATCTGTTTTAAGAGTGATGTAAAACAAACCACCAGTGAGGTACTAAATGTGCAGACAGGGTGGCTACAAGAGCACTATAAATACGAGGGCATATGATATATACTTTATTAATATATACTTTATTATAATAGACATTTCATTTGAAAAAAGGGGAAGATGAAGCACTAATTAAAAAGAAAATATCTGATCTTTGTGGGATGGAGACAATGAGGGTAGAACATCCTGTAGAATACAGAAAATAGTTAGAGCAGACTATTAAAGGACAAAGTAGATGAGCGGTAGGTCTCTCCAGATTAAGATTTTATCCCTGGTTTAAATAAGACACTTTTTCTATCGGGGAAAGTCAGTTTATAAGTATGTCTGCTTTGTAATGTAAATGAAAATGTTGAACACGTAATGATGCTGTGTGTCAAATACAATCAAGAAAGGGTAGTGAGAAAAAGAAAGGCCGAACAAGGATGGTATTTAAAAGAGATACTAGCAACAAAAGAGGATAAACTGTGTAAACACAGGATTGTTTAAATGAATAGGTGTGTTTAAAGTGCCTGTTCTACATGCTCCAGTACGGTACGTGTATAGACGCACCTTAAAAGTATAGACAGCAATCCGCAAAACAAAGGCGACTAAGAAGAAGCCACCGATGGGTGGCAGCAGAGAGTTAACACAACCGACTACAACAGAAACGTAGAAGAAGACGGGACCGGAAGTTGGAATATTGTTGACAAAACCAGCTAGCCTTTGCTAGGTGGCATGAAATTTCATTCACATTTTACAAAAACTTTCGTTCGTAATGAGTTCTCCAGAGGACAGGCATGGGACGAAACGACCCGCGTCTCCAACTGAAGTAAGTAACACAATAAAATCTGAACACAATCCGGAGACAAACGCTTTAAATTACTTGAATAACGTTAGCGTCGCATTAGCCTGTTTGCTAACGTTGGGCTTCAAAAGCTTTGTCGAGAACTCTGAACACGTTTTTAGAGTCTGTACTCGCCATTTAAAGCAAAGTTAAAACGTTATTGAACAAAGTATGCCACAAAGTGTACTATGTTGTATCAGTAAACCTTTAATACGTTTGACTGTTGACTGGATTACTGACTGGAGGTCATACATTATCCTCCTTTTAATTTACTAACTTTATGTTCTCAATTTTAAATACCTTAAACAGAATGAAGACAAATAAGAATTAATGTTTTGTTTTTTAAAATCACATTATCAATATTTTACAGACTGGCATTGTGCTCGTTCCTAAAATGTATTATACCATAAAACAACAGTCCCTATCCGGTGAAACTGGAAACTTTTCCAGGTAAAATATGCAGATTTTGTGCACAACAGATGAATGGGTTGAGGATAGGTATGCTGTTGAAATCCTGCTTAATGTGTTGTTAATTTGATCCCTTTCCTTTCTCCAGAATAAAAAACTGTACCTTCTTCAAACAACGTTTGAAGCTCACAGTACTCTGTTTTTATCTGTCAGTGTGTTGGGATTATCGAATTATTTAATTATTTAAATCTGTTAAATCAGAGCTTTCAGCAGAGTTTAAAGGTCAGAGTGCTGTTTATCCCAATTGTTTTGTTTTGTTGCTACTTGTTGATTGCTGTTTTATAACCATATTTTGTTAGTGTTGTGATTTGGGTATATTTCTCTTTTGTGTGGCTTCATTCTGCAAATATTTGAAGCCACATGCACAGGTTTGCTTTCAACGAAAGCAGCTTGTTTATTCTCTCCCATAACACCACGGACATAACTCCAATGAGTGATGTAATGTGGTCCTAAGTTGTCACTTTGTCATTTCATTTTATTAGCATATATTTGACACTTCCACATTTGTAGGGGATTGTCAGTTTGAATGATCTGTTATGAACTTTTAAGGCTATGACTTGCGTGATAATGATGATTTGCGTTGGCAGGATGGGTCTACCCAGTGGGCATCAGCTGATCTGGGAAGCAACGAAAGGAAACAGAAGTTTTTACGACTGATGGGCGCTGGCAAGGTTAGTTTTGTGTATTGTAGATAACTATGCTCAAGGTTTGCTTTATTGTGGGCCTGGAATCAATAGCATAAAAAGAAAACATAAGTTTGAAACACAAAACAACGGTTTTACTTGTCGCTGTCTAACCTTAAGAGAAGTTGTGACAATTGGTATAAAACTGGATTGTTTCTTTTTTCCAGAAAGAACACACTGGGCGCCTCGTCATCGGGGACCACAAGACGACATCCCACTTCCGCAGTGGTGAGCTTCTTTATCCAGCCTTTGTAAAATGCTGAATTTGTTATACTAATGTAGGACATGTCCGAACTACTGTCCCTTTTCCACTTACCCTTGCTGCCTTATCCTTATGCCCAATGCAATTAACCCGGCTTCCCCACTACACATCTGCCGCACAGATCTATCCATGCATGGATAGGCCTGTTTTGGCTGGGTGTGCCTGCTGTGACTGGTGTCTCCTCTGCAGGGCAAGAAGAAAAGAAGATCAGTGCACAGCTAGAGATGCAGTACCAGCAGGGAATGGATGGGAAGCTATCGGGCCGGAACCGAAGACACTGTGGCCTAGGTTTCAGCGAGGTGACCTTTAATTTATTTCTCCAGACATAAAAAACTTTTAAGAAATTGATGAGGTGATGAACTATCGTGGCCTAGTCCAGAAGACCACTGAGAGGTGCAGATAGCCGACTGTTGATTGCTTAACTAACTTGCTTTTGTTGTAGTGTAGTGTTATAGTGACACAATGTGAATCTATGCATCTACTCTAGATTTCCATCTTTTAATCATAATACACCATCTCTTAGGAAATGACCTGTGAGGGGAAAGGTTGAACATGCGATAAGAGTTCAGAAAGAAATAAACATCAAGTGTTTGACAGTAGGGACTTGTAGTTATTTTTCTGACTATATTCATTTTGCAGTCACCAGCACCTCCTGCTCTACTGTAGAGACTGCACACAAAGTTCCTTTTGTCTTTTACACTGTTAAAGAAAGTGTGCTATTTTGGCTTTTTAATTTTTAAGTTAGTAAACTGTAATCTTCTGTAACTGTAAATGATAACATATGCATGATTACTTATTTGTGAGAAACTGCACTTTTTAAACACAAATTATAATTCTAACAAATAATGGGATGTGGGGAAAATGTATTAATGCAGCGTATTTCATATGCAAAGACAGTAAAACTCAAAAGGACATACACCATTAAGAAATATGAGAAAGATCAGGATGTAACCACAAGGTGGATAATGATGCAGTTAAGTCTTAAATTTATCCATCTTGGCAGGACACTTCTAGATGACCTGAAAGGTTGAGAGTGTTCATGTGGTACAAGACAGTAACAGGGATGATTGATGTAGCTGTAGTATTGCATCCATCCTTCCTCGCTACTGCTTAATTTTCTTTGTGTTTCACACAAACAGTTTTATTTCAAGAGGCAACGCATTCTTGTTGTCTTTAATGTGTCAGACTGTGTGAGCAGAGCAGGGTGTGGCTGGCAAAAAGCACATATATCCTATCACTGTTTCTTATGCAAGTAAAACTCAAACAACAAAAGCCAATCTTCTGTTAACACTGAACAATTTTCCAATGTGGCATTACTCTGTCTTTTAATTTCATTGTCAGTCCTCCAGGAAATGATCCATCAGGATCCCAACCAAACTAATAGGTTGTGCCTTAGCCTAAGACTTAAGTATTCACAAAAATCCATGGACATCTGTTTATACTCTGAGGTTTTAATATATCTTGTTAACAGACAGGCGGAAATAAAAAAAAAACAAAACTTCTTCATCTTCAACTCATCCTTTTGTTCGTTTAACCTGCAGCCTGACCCAGAGCCAGACTTGTTTCCTCCCCCACCAGTGGACAGTCAGACAGAAGCAGCTGAGCCAGAGAAGTCCAACAGTGAAAAAGAGCCCACAGATGCCCGGGACAAAGGCTGCGATCCTAACCCAAAGGAGCAGACATCAGACAAGGCCAAGCCCAGCGTGGACAGTGGGAATGAAGAACCGAAACATGGTTACAAAACGGCCTTTGTGAAGTCGGCATAGGTGTGCGGAGAAAAGTTTGTTTTTGTAATCTCAAATTTGTACATTTTGACGTTATTTGTTAAACTGTTGGCGGTCCTCCACCATTTTAGTCCTTTTTACTGTGTAGAATTGGATTCTCTACACAAGCACTCATAATTGGGCGACATCTTGGTGTGCATGCTGTCAAAGGATTAAGTCTGCAGGCTAAAATGTTTGGTTGAGTTGTTATATCATATATCATGTTAAGATGGCAAATGGTCCAGTTTTTATTTGGTTGGAACATTTTAACAGTCCTGGTAAATAATTGTTTTTTGATGAAAACAGGATTATAATTTGGCATGATTGATATACAAATTGTACATTTTGTGATTTCTTCTTTACAAACCAATAAAAGGAATATAGTGTCAGTTTTAATGTTTGCTTTGTTCTTAACACGAGAACTGCAGTTGTCCTCAGACAGAGGAGATGATTTCTGTGTAAGGCTGTTCATGCATTCTGTTATGTATTCTTGTAGATGCATAAAAGTAAACTGTCTGTTTTGTGCTGAAAGTTCTCTGACCACGAAGTAAATGCAGACTTATTGATCACAGATTTTTGTTACTGGGTTTTGCACTCAGACTGTAGTAATTCTGTATGGTATCTTAGTTTCCTAGCAAGAAAGTGCATACTAAGTAACTTGATGCAAGAAAGCCCCCACCTGTAATGCAAAGGTATTAAAACATTTTTTAAAAACCAGAGCGGCTCCATAAATGTATGGCAGCCACTGGTAACTGATATTAGTGACTTAATTCAAAGAGGAAGTGGCACAATGGACTGGAAAGCTCCAGAAGCACTTACAATTCACTGTGAATGATTTGTACGGTCTGTTACAGTAGTGTGTTGGGAACAGAGTGTACATGTGTATAAAATACATCTTACTATGATTGTGTTGATTAATTGTATTACCCATGGCATCTGTAGATCTGAACAGCTTATCCTAAGGTAACAAGCATAATTCCCATTCAGTTGATTATACATTACTGAGAACAAACGTATGAGTATAACATTCAATTTCTTCCAATAGATCCTCCTCAATTTTACACACTGGACCCTTAATATTCATCTCTCAAGCCCAGGCCTGTAACAATAATGTAAAAAATAATAAACTGTCATTATTTTTTTTAAAAAAGTAATAAGTGTTACAAACAAGTTTGCAGTTTAGTGCATAATCAGTGGTGGGGAAAGTACGAATATAAAAATGTATTTTTATATTCGTTTATTACTCTAGTATTCAGTAAAACTCAAAGTAAAAAGGTAAAGTCAAAGTATGTCATACAACCTAGGTTAATGTAACCTTAAAACAAATATATAGTTAAATAATGAATATTATGTAAGCAAATAAATAACTTTAACAGTCCAAGGATGAACTGCAGCGGCAGAGGGTTCGAGTCTGAGCTGTGACCCTTTGTTGTATGTCATCCCCTCTTTCTCTCCCCTCTTTCCTGCAATGAATACCCCCCCCTCCAAAAAAAACCCCAATAAAATAAATAAATAATAGTATTTACGCTGCTATGATTTGTGTGGTGTTCCTTTAAAAAGGAGCGGTGTAACTGTAGCGCCGCTTGCTGGAGAGGAAACAGCGAGAGTAGATTAAGTGACAAGCACCGTAAACAATTAACAAGAGATAGAAAATATGAGTAAAAAAGTTTTGAGAACTAAAACTTTATTTATTGTTCACCTTCAGTCTACATCGCTGGATTCTGTAGTTTGTATTGAACGAGGATATGTCGAGTTAAACCGTTTTTTATTGTCAATTAGCATCCTATATCCGTTAAATTTAGCCATACTGTCAGTAGTTTATCCTCATGAAGTGAGGTGAACACTGCCGCCATTTTATGCTGCAGCTTATATTTAAATTAAGATTAAGCTGTATTCAGGTGCTAGTCCTCCTCAAGTATTTCATTTTGTTTGAAATTATGTTGGACTAAATTCAATTCAATTCAATTCAATTCAATTTTATTTATATAGCGCCAATTCATAACAGAAGTTATCTCAGGACACTTTTCAAATAGAGCAGGTCTAGACCGAACTCTTTAAAACATTAATTACAGAGACCCAACAGTACCACTATGAACAAGCACTTGGCGACAAGGGCAAGGAAAAACTGCCTGTTAAAAGGCAGAAACCTAGGACAGATCCTCCGGCTCTAGGTGGGTGGTCGTCTGTCTCGACCAGTTGGGGTGAGAGAGAGAGAGCGAGAGACAGACAGACAGACAGGTGCACAGCAACAACAGTATATATACAGTAAATTAACTGCATGTATTCAGGTTTGTCGTTGTGAGGAGGCTCAGTGTTAGCACACCTGAAGCAGGTAAATGAAGATGGCGAGCCCATAAAACCAACCTGAACTGGAGGACACTGACCACACCTGAATCCTGGTACGTCTGAACCTTTATCATTTTGCTGCAGCTAATCATTACCAAAAGACTTGACTAATTACACAGAACTGTGACAAGAGTTTATTGTTATCATACAGTTTATATTGATCTGTGTAATTATTGTGTCTTGATTCGGTATTACATTACACCGTATATTATTTTCCTTGTATGTGCGCTGCTAATGGCTTTCTGTTACTGTAAACTCTAAACTTGTGCACCGGGTAAGTAAACTAACAAGAAGGTTGAACTATACTGTTAAAATAGGCCTAGCTGAGATAAAATGAGAACTTAAAACTGAGTCAACACAAAGAGAAAAAAAATATTTTAACTAAATAGTAGAGCTGTCAAACGATTAAAATATTTCATCGCGATTAATCGCATTAATGTCATAGTTAACTCGCAATTAATCGCACATTTTTATCTTTTCTAAATGTCCCTTGATTTCTTTTTGTCCCATTATTGTTTCTCATTTTAATGCTCTTATCAACATCACCAGTGAGTGCGACTGCTTTTGTCTTCTCCAACGCCTGCTGTACCTTTAAGGCTGTTACATAGTCGCCGTTCCCGACCTGTAGCGCAACAATGTGACGGGACCCGTCAAATAATATTAGCTAGACCCTCGTCCTCCACAACGTTAACAGGCCTACATGCAGTAGCCACCCATTTAGCTATGGCTGCAGTAAGTTTGTTCTTAGTTGTGGTATCCATGTGTTTTCTGTCTGAAGTCATCCATTGCCTGGCTTTGACGAGGGGGCAGAGAATTCGCATCAGCTGTGTGCTTGGCCATCAAGTGGTATTTCAGACTGGACGAGCTGCAATGATAGCTCAGTTCACAACGACAAAACACACAGATCACTTTGGTCTTGTCAATGGGACCATTTGGCAACTTTTTAAAAGTAAACTTTCCATTCAGAATATTATTGGCATCCATTTCGGCGTCTCGCCATCCACTCAATCCACTGTGCGGCGTGCCTGTTGTTTTGTTTCTGGTCTAGCTAGATCCGGTGTGGTGTTGTAGTTTTTCTAATGTTACTAGTTGTTGCAACAGCATGTGAAAAAATCCTACAAAGTGTGCTAGGCCAAAAAGAACGTTAATCTTACGATAAAAAAAATTGACGCTGTTAAAATGGGTTTACGTTAACGCCGTTAATAACGCGTTTAACTGACAGCACTACTAAATAGGTTTAACTCCAACAAAAGCAAGATGAAATAGGGGGAAATACTTATTCTGTGATTTGGATTTTATTTGGAATGTAAATGCAAATATTTCTGTCATATCTGTGTATATAAGTTGTGTTATTTGGTGCCAATTTTTGTCTACTACTATTTTTATTTTTTTGTTACATAAATAAGCAGGCAGTATAAAAGTGTCCCTTTTGTAGTCTTATTCCTGACTTCTAGTTAGAAACTGCTCCTCTGAACTTAGACTCTGGCCCTACCTATCTGTAAATATCTACAGTGCGTAATAACTGTAAAATGTATTGCCCTTGGCCGACTAATGCAAATTTATATATGATAATATTACATTGTTAACACTGAAACATCAATATATTGTTAGAGTTTTACTGTTGTAGCTCTTCAAACTACTTTATGTCAATCCCAATCTGTGGGTCATGCCCCACCAAAGGATCCTCAGATAGATCTGAGGGGTCATGAGGTGATTAAAGGGAGAGGAAAGAAGAAAAAACGTTTTCAGACTATTCCCTAATATTTACTTTCATTGTGAAATAATCAATTATTTTTAAAATGAAACCATTTGACACTTTTTGCCCAACTGGGTACTGCTATCATCTAAAAGGTCAAAACGGTTGGAAAACTATGGGAGCGTATTGCATTCACTTGAAACAGTAGTTTGTTGAGTATTTTTTATTTTTTGTCTGTTTTTCTGAGTAATTTTTTTTTGGTTTGTTTTTCAGAGTAATTTATTTTTATGGTTGGTTTTTCGTAGTATTTTTTTTCAGAGTTTAGAGAGCATTTGAAACAATAGACGCATTCATTCCTTTATTGAGAGCTCGATTTAACGGAAACAAACATAACCAGCTTGTTTAGTTCAATCAAGTTATACTTTGATCTGGGTTTAAGACACTGGGAGATAGTCCTGTCTTTGAGTCATATAGATGGTATTATCATTAGTTTGTCCACTCTACGCAGGCACCTGAGGACTCAGCGGTTGTTCAGAAGGAAAGCCCATTCAGATCAGCAATGTACGGTAGATAGTTGAAGATGGGGCATGTATGTGCGGGCAGGAGTCACCATCGGTCCATGGGAGTCAGTTGCAGGTTGGAGGTTCTCGCGGGAGTTCAAAGTATCTCGATAATTCAGAAAAAAAATTACCACGAAAAACAGAAAGAAATTACTCTGTAAAACAGGAAAAGAATTACTCAGAAAGAACGGATTTTTTTTTTCAAGTGAATGCAATACGCTTCCATACAAAACACTGGTTTAATCTTATAATTATAATACACATTTTTTATATTCTTTATGAGCCAATCATGTTTTTGTTTTGTTTTGTTTTTTGTTTTAATTGAAGTCTTAATCTGAAAAGTAACTTCAGCGGCAAATGTAGAGGAGTAAAAAGTACAGTACTTCAGTCTGAAATGTGGTGGAGTTAGAAGTATAAAGCAGCATAAAATGGAAATACTCAAACTACAGTTTCCTCAAAATTGTACTTAATTACAGTACTTGCATAAACTTTGTTTCATTCCAAGACAGTGCACAACATTTAATTTTTTAAAGCAGAAGAAAGAGCATTAGGCAACGTGATTGAATGTGATGCAGCTGACACATTTTCACAGCCTCCCTGAACATGATAAAATACCATCTGACGATACAGAAGGTGGAACTTCTTTATGTTTTTGCATAAAGAAATAAATAGAAATGATTTATGGATTCATTCATCTGGATGGTATTAGTTTTGAACTAGTTTGCTGTCAACCACGGATCTGCAGTCATTAATCAAAACCACAACTTTCTTTTCCTTTTTTAAGTTGGTAGCAGGAAGTAGAGTGACATGCGTCTTCTTTTGAATGTATATACCAAGTACCAGTGAACAAGTCAGATTAAATTAACTTTATGTGAACAAGTGTCCTTGTTCACATAAAGTTAGGCCCTATTCTCTGATCATCATGTGCCAGCTCTGCTAAGATATAACCTCAGTTTACAGTAGCTGAATGTTAAATGTTCTGTAGTAAAGTATGTGTTTGGGTGAAATCAGGATCTTATAGGTGGATTTCATATGACCTGACCTGTGATACACCCCTGGCTGCTGAAGAGAGTGAAAAGTATCCCTATAAGCTACAGCCTGCGTGTAAGGATGTAATCAGCTCATTATCAGCTCAGCTAATTCTGAGAAATCAAACTTGCCTTCCTCATCCTGTACGTACATGAGTGGCGCCTTAATGAAGGTTCGTCAGGACTTCACCATGGAAAATGCAGGGATGGACATTTGGGGAAATTGGCTTTTTTTCTGAGAGTGAGATCAGAATATCCATATCGGTCAGAGTTCTTTACCATGTGTTTCACTAACAGGTCTAAAAGCCGGTGTAGGAGACAGAAAATAGTAGTCTGTATTCGGAGCATGTTTTCTCTTTAAACACAGCCTCTGAACCAGAATAAGAAAAAGTTTATTAAAAAACAAGAACATAGCAGCGACCTGTCAGAAGCTAAAAACTATTATAAGAGCTCAGTGTAAGGCCACCAACATGGCTAACACCAGTTAGTTATAGATTCTCCCTTTGGAGTTTCCTGTAACTTCAATTTTGGGGAATCATACTTATTCTGTGTCTGAATCAAACATGACTGAAGATGATCTAAACCTCAGTAAAGACAACGTGTTATATATTTGAAATAGGTAAAAAAAAAGTTCTTGTTTTGAGAAACAATTAGTCATCATGCAAGTTACAACAGTATGAAGGGAGGCTCCTTCGGGGCGCCAGGATACCTCACCTGGTAGACCTGGCCCCCAATGAAACAAGGCTGAGTCCTTGCTGCAGCAGCCATGTGGCCCTTTGCTGGATGTCATCCCCTCTGTCTCTCTCTCTCTTTCCCTTCCCTCTCTATTTTAATTTCCGCTAGAAGACAAATAAGTTCCATTATTCACATTTGTTACAGATCTTGTAGGTGATTATCTCATTCCTCATTTATTATGTTATTTTGTTTCAAAATTAAGTCCAGCCCGGGCTCTTTGTTGCATGTCATCCTGTCTCTCTCTCCACTGTCTTCCTGTCTCACTCCAGCTTCATCTAAATGAAGTAGAAAAAAACATTATGGAGAAAAACAAGTGGGTGGACCTTGTGATTATTTGTCAAACATTGTTTATTGTTTACAGGTGTACATCATTACGTATTATAGGAGCTGGAACATCTGACCTTTATCTATCCGGGACAGATAATACAGAACAGTATAAAAAGCAAAACTACATATCGACTTCATGTAGCCCTAACAACGTTCAAATGCAAATATGCCTTTAAAATGAATACTATGAGATTATCCTGTTAGGTTGTATAAACTACAACATAAACAATGACAGAAATGTTTGTATGAGTTTATAACTGAAAAACAAACCGGAACAAAACATTTCAAGTAAACAGACACCAAATAATTGTTTAATACAATATTTATTGCTGTAATGACTTTTTTCATGTGTTTTTTAAATTATTATTCATGTGATATTCTAATGCGTGCGAGTTGATTGACAGAACCGTGATCATTGGGTGACAGTGGTGAAGACAGTAAAAATTGAACAAGCATATCAAGCCAAACAATGTAATAAATAAATGTCAAAACACTCCAACTCTAATCTGAGCATGTAGACATTGACTCTCATTTCACTCTTTTGTTTGCTCATAAAAATACAGACCAACCAGCAAAATAGGTAATTGCAGATAAAAAAAAAAGCAATTCACTCGTGTTATAAATTATTGTTACTTAATTGTGCAATGTAAGTGCAGAAGCAAGAAAACTTGATTCTATTTCAAAACTATGAATCAAAACTCTTTAAGAAACGTGTCTTGTTCTCACTCATATAAAAGAGACTTGTAATAAGTGAATTAATTAGTTGGCAACTGCTGAAACTGCTGATGAGATCCTTTACAAAGAATCTGTGCTGTTTTGTTGTGTTGGTGGTTCCTGTGGGTCAGTGTTCTGCAGCAGCTTTGGCTGAAGAGGAGACAACAGTGAAGATATAAGTATTTCTTCTTGCTGGCAGGATAGCAGACAGAAGGTGCAAACACATTTAATTCAAAGTGGTGCATATGCAAATTGAACATGTTTAGTTTGCAGAAGAATTTTGGATTTTAACAGGTTTCCAGTAGATTTCAAGGACAAACAGCTCCCCGGAGAAAATGCCGCTTGTAATAGTTTATAGTTTTGTGTAGTTTTGCAAATGTGATACCAAGAGCAGACCTGGCACAAATATTAGCATTGTGTATTTTACTAAAACAGAAGAAGTCAGGTACTACAAGTGTTTGCTGCACAGACCACTGTGCACGAATAGTATGTAAGTGTTTTATTTACATAAAAAACACAACTCGCACCAAAACCCCACTTGCACATAGAGGGAAGCTACATTTCACCAAACCAGAACTTTACAGTACCTGAGCTACGCTGACCAAAACAGCAGCACAGAAGAAAGCTCTTTGCTTAGAATATCACCCCCAAAAAAGAAACCAGATCTGTACACAGATTAAATGTCTAGGGACTTGATAGAACTAGAGAAGAAATAAGAATATATAAAGAATATTCAGTTAAATGTGAGTCGTAAGCTTGTTTTGTTCTCACAGATTAATTTCTTTTTCCTGTTCCAAACTTATGTACATGCGACTAAAATTAAATATCTGGTTAACTTGGAAAAGAAAATGTTTGTTCACTGAGGAAAATTACAGCATATCATGTACATCTCTAGCAGATTTTAAAAAGATATATATATATATATATATATATTTTAGGTTTGAGTCTCTTTTGCCACCAATCTGTGCACATTCCTGGCCAAAGCCAAACAGCATATACTGAGACCAATGACTGAGACACACAACACAATGAATACAATGAATCCACACCACCCAAAAGGGAAAGGGTAGGTATACCTGGATCAGACATACTTACTGACTCTCCAGCCACTCAGTCCCTGCACACCAGGGACAACGACAAATCACGTGTCTGAGATAGCAGTCTAAGAGGATTCCTGCTACATTTACACCACTACCACAGAGGCAAGTGAATAATTATAAGAATTTGTGTGTGTGTGTGTCTGTCTGTGTCTGTGTGTACTTCTTTATTTGTGATAAATTATATGAGGTTTACAGGACAGCTCAACAAAGTGATGCATTATGTTAACGAAGGTGTGAGTACACTAACCTGCGACCAGTTTGCTCTTGCGCGAGGCCTCGGACGCCAGTGCGTGGGACACACTCATGATCCTCTCCTGCTGCTGTAGAACTGAGTCCAGTTCACTGAAGTCCAGTGATGCAGATGGCTGTATGTTCTGAACACTGTTCAAAGGACACAAACACTCAGGACTACAAACCAGTGGATCTTACACTGACATTTTGAACTCTACTATATTTATATATCAGTGTATTTGTATTAGAGCACACAGTCCTAGTAGTAAAGAAAAGCACCAAAAACAACAGTATCAACTCAACTCCAGTGTCATTATTTGAGTGCTGTCTACCTGGATTTGGCCAGGAGGTTCTTGATGCGCTCGGTCCGGCGGAAACGTTCCTCCAGCTCCTCTGGGCTGAGAGGCTCCTCAGAGTCAGACTCTATGTAGCGCTCTGGGATGGGAACTTTCTGTGGTTTTGAAAGCTGCATGTTGGATAGAGAGGAATTCAGTCTTACAGCCCTATAATTCAGGGACAGTCATGTTGTTGTTAATGGACACGAAAACTAGTGGTCTTATGTTTTTTTGTTTTTATGCGGCACAAATGAAATAATTTGCTTGGTAATTTGTAGTTTCTTTTCCATAATGACAGTAAAGAATTCCCCTGAGGTATCATTGCTGTTCTACACAGGAGCTGAGCCTTTGGACTAAAGTTAAATCCTTTGAAAAAAACCTATATACATAGGAGGAAGCTAGTGATGGCAAAACAAATAAACAAAATCATTAGATGTACAGAGTTGTACAAAACGTACACCATATAGTAAATAGATTTTACCCCATTCACAATATGTATTTAAAAAAATTATGCTTTTAATGGGTTTCAAATATATTTCACTGATGCTGTATGAAGATATTTATAATATAAATAAAGTATATAAAATTGAAATGTGGATGCTTTTATACCAAATTGAGTAAAAGATTTTGGGCATTCCATTTGAAAATGAAAGGAAAAAAGATTGTTGAAGAATGCAATCCCTTCTTCCTGTGTTACAGACAGATGACCTGAGGGTTATAGTGTTCCTCTTCAGCCTGTCTCTTTAATGTTCTGTAAATCTCATGATGGAAATAGATAAAACATAACATTCAGCAGAAATTAATTTGTCAGGGTAAAAGAGTGACTAAATATTATTTACATCCTTTCTGTAAGGATTGTGTAAAATAAGACTAAAGTAGAGACAACAGTGCACATCTACGCCATGCAAGATCATGGATTGTGTCCAAGATAAACTGAGAGAAGAACTGTGAACGCGATGGATCAGAACAGTGGAGCTATTAGAGGATTAGTCTTACAGAGGCCAAGCAGATGTGTGTGTTTACCTCTCGGCTGATATCCATATCATAGTCGACAGGCTCCACATCCACCTCTCGTATGCGCGTGGCTGTCGCTGTCACCCACTCATCTGATTGGATCCTCCCTCTCTCTTTCACTTGATGCTTCCCTTCATCGCTCTGCCCCTCTGCCCCAAGTCGCTCCTCCTGCCAGTCAAACACCTAGAAAGGGCAGGAGTCAGGATTACACAGCTAGCCTGGCCAATATCATTTTTTGATTTGATTCTTTAAATAAATATAAATTAATCATAAAATCTCAGTGTTTCTAGGCGTGAGTTTAAAAGGTTTTGGATTTTTGGGTGGATATATTAATAGAATATTGATTGGAATTGTTTTTGATATTATTGCCAGAACTTAGCAGATTTTTATGAAGACAGTAGTGTAAGTGTGAAACATCAGCTAGACACTGGTGTACCAATTGTCAACATTAGATTTACACATAAGGATTAAAGCCTTTAGAGTTTCACGCTACAGGCGTTTTTAGAGTGGAAACTATTAGTTGATTAATCAGTTATTCTGCTTATAGAATTCCACCATGGGCTCACTGATTTAAGATCTGACATATGTTGGTGTACAAAAATGTGACATAAATAACAGAAAGGGTTATTTAATGTTTCTGCAGTGAGTCGTGCCTAAAGGTTGAAGGGGAATGTAACCAGGAATACTTATAGCGAGATCCAGGGATTTGAAAGGATGATGTTTAGTATCATTACCACAGAGCAGACCCAGGCAGATGATCAGTCTGTGTTTCTGGAGCTCCAATTATACACATACCACATCCTTTACTCCTATATACTCCAGCACATTTGCATGGTTGGTTCTTATTCTCTTATCTGTACTCTGTACTCTCTGTGTGTGCGTGTGTGTGTGTGTGTGTGTGTGTGTGGTGAGGGGTACTTGTGAGTAATCATCCAAGGAGCATCAAAGCCATGCATGCATCCTTCCCACTCCAGTAGCCTGCAGCGGGTGTGATCTGCTGGTGTGTTCACATGCTCTGAGAAACACTGCATCCCATGCCTTGTTGTGCTCAGGAGAATCAATTGCACACAAAAGGATAGAGAGAAAGAACACCATGCAGACACAGATTCATCAAACCCCCACAAGATTAGGAAGAACACAGCCAAGAGGAGTTTCAGAAGCAAGAAACTCTTTATTGTCGAGTGCAAATCTCTACATGATAGAAAAGAAAAGGGAAGAGAGTTATGCGTTGCTTCACAATTACATAGAATTAAGTGTTGATTAGCAGTTCACTACTATATTTCTACTCTTCTGAGCAACCTCCTGTAACTGTTTTCTCTTTGATCTGATATATTGTACGTAGCTGTGAAGGGATAAAAGCGATATGGCAAAAAAGCTTTCAAGATTTATACTCGTCAGAAAAACAAGGAGCCGACAGCAGCGCCATGGTGATCCGAAACTGTACGCCGAGTATGACTACCACATGAATAGAGGTATCTTCTTCATGTGTAGGGCTGCGAAGATTATTCAATTTGTCAACAGTAAGTAAATCAATAGCTTAGTTATTGTTTCAAATGTCAAACAAAAACTGCCTAACGTTTACATATTTTATCTTCTTTTCTGTGACAGAAAATCATCACCCTAAATCTTTTTAACACACTTTCAAATATTGTCACTGTTCCTTTCATCACAGATTTCCCATGACAAAGGTGTCCACTCCTTGTTCACACTTCTATTTTTCTATTGCATTTCAGCCCAGTTGCTTGAACTGTCCTGTATATTTATGATGCATAAAACAGCACAGCATAGGCCACTTAAAAGTACTCAGATATGAGTACAGATTCTCTTCCCAACTTTAACCGTGGCAATAAAACTGTCAGCCACTTTCGATAAAACTTTCATGATAAAAATATCCTTGTAGTCTGTACAAGAAAAGGCTGCATTAATGAGGATGTTAATTCAAATATAAAATGGTGTAAACACGTTTTATGCTGGTGGAGTAGATAAAATAAAATATGTTCTGGCATTTATGGTTATATGCACTAAAAAGAGGTGAGAAGTAGTAGCAGAGGATTACAGACTATGTATTGCTCACTGTTAAAAATGTGATTTCAAAGATTTATAGGAAATGTAGTCTGATTACAGGCGTATCTCACAGCAGTCTGGTTACCAGTGTGTGTTAGTCTGTAATCATAATACCAAACTGGTAGTTATTATAGATCACGTTATCTTAATGGAAAACTTTGACATTTTTGAATTTTACTGTATTACTTTTTTCACCCAGGCATGTTAGCATTGTTAACATTCCTCACTGAAGCCAAGGAGTAAGCTAGATTTAGTTTAAATGTCAAAGTTTTCCTTTGGGGGTTAAAACCAGCTGTGTCCCCAGTCCTCACGTCTTCCTGAATGAAGTTTGTGATTACACAGAAAAGCAACCTTAAAGCTAGCTCTTGCATTCCTTTCTATGATTCTAAGGTGGAGACGCATGTTCGAAACAAATCATTATTAATTCAAATGTTGATTAAAGGAGGTAAATTTGGGACAAAGGCAAAAATGATCGTCAGCAAAACAAGGCACTCGGACTTCATTAGAAGAAAAGAAAGAAGGGAGGTGATCATGATTTTTGCCACTAGCATTGTCTCTTTCTTCATTTCATCAACCTGAATACTTTTTCCAACCCCATTTCCCCCACCCTTCTATAAGCTCTATATACCAAATCTCTACAAAATATAACTGTACAACTGTATACTGAAAATATCCCTCAGTAAATAAATAAAAGTGTACAAGTACACAGTATGTAGATATACATAAATGGGCTCTTCTCTGTACTTTCTGGTGAAAAAACAGAGAAAGGAAGGCAGAGTGATGCCTTCCATTTCCTTCTTTTCTCAATGGATTTACATTCAGAATTGTGTCAGTGAGGTCCCACCAGTGGGCAGTGGTAACAAGGGGTTAAAGTGACCCCTAAACCTAAAAAATAAAAAAAAACAGGGAGGGACACTGTCCCTGTCCAGAACTAGCCAAGCATTCCCCACAATCCCCTGTGCTCATTTTGTCTCCCATTGTTCTTAAAGCATTAACCAAGCTAGCTAGTCAGCCACAGTCAGTCCTGCCCTTTAGCTTGTTAGTGCTTACAGCGAACGTCAACAACCACTGGTTACACAAGGCAGAAAGTACTAGCATGTTAGCATTCCTGCTGGGTTATTATGTGGCTGGGGGCTGGAGGGTGGCATAGCAGCAGTGGTGGTGAAGGTGGTGCTCCCTGTGTCTGCTGCTGCTGCGCGGCAGAGGGGGGTAACGTACGGAGGCCGAAGGATCCGAGGTGTTGGACGGCAGCCTGGAGGAGGAGGAGGACCGCTGGGTGGTGACAGTGGAGGTGGAGGAGCGTTCACCCTGGCTGAGGTTCCTCTTGCGCTCGCGAACTAGCGCCTTCTGGTGGCGCTTCATCCGCTCCAGCTGCTCCTCTGCAGTCATTCGGCCACGGGGCTGGCTGCTCGGGAGCTGCAGGGCTTCTGTAGGCGATGACAGACGTTCCAAGGCACTCTTGGGTCTCTCCTGCTGAGACAGAGAAGGTGGAAAGATACAGGGAGAATTGGAACAGGGAGGTGAAGGATGGTTAGTGGCGAGACAGAGTTCAGAGGGAACAGAACAAAAATGGAAAGATTTAAATATGGGATAAAGAGGGATATGGACAGTGAAATAGTGTAGTGGAAGAGAAGTGTAAACAAAGTGACGAGAAATAGAAAATATCAATAATTAAAACGACATTAAAACATCACATTACCTAATGTTTGTATTGCATACACTAAAATATGTCTGTACTGTATATGAATAGATGACTCATACAGTTTAATAAATGCATGCTATACAGACATTTATAATTGTATGATTAGATATTGTCTACAACACATGAGGAAGTTGTTGCTGTATGTTATTCAGAATATCTCACTCTCAACCCTACTTCCAATTAAACATAATTAAAATATAATTTTCAAAAAAATTTAATTCCTCCAGCAGACCACGGGTATCTGCAGATATCTCCACCCCTGACATCTTGACTCACCCTAGCTGCGGAGCTTCTGGGGCCTCTCCTCAGGGTGACATAGGACGAGATAGAGGTGGACTGGTTCTGTCGAGATGAGGGGCCTAACAGACCTAGTTGATTGAACGGGACAAGAATCAGCACAGGTTGTTGTAGTTTCTTTTGCAAAGCAAAACAAGCAGTAAGGTCATACGATGAAAACACAGTGACAAAATGGAAAGGTTAGGTTAGAAAACCTGCTCACCATTCTGTATGAGGAGTGAATTATTATGTAATGCCTTCCAACACTGGAAATATAAATGCCTTAACTTAATTACTAAACATGAAAGTATTTACAAAATATGTCTTTTTTTTAACGTTCCAGTTGGTGATCTATTTGTTTGGGTGACAAATTCTGTTACTCATCATTTCTTAGCAAGACAAAGTCTGAAGAAATTGGATTTTTAATGAAAATATGTGTATTCCTGAACATAAATGCACATCTCATGCATAGTTTTAATTTAATTAAAGCTTGATTAACATATTTTTTTCCTCATATTTCTATCCTTTACAACAAAGTTTGCTTCTCTTTTTTATATACAAGTATTCAAGTATATACAAAAATGCAGTAAGATGGGATGATAACTGGTATGCATTTTATGCTGGTAAATCACAGTCCATAAAAAATTGGTCCAATGAAGGGATGTAAGTATTCTACATGTTACTGTTCAGATACCTTTGGTCTGGAAATACTGGTAGTCAATGTCAGACCCGGTGCTGTGGTGGATTATTCCTGGCAGCTCTGGCTCACTCAGGTATGATCGCAAGTCAGTCTGAAAGAAGAAAAAGTTGACTAAATTAGACATCAAATCACAAAAACTACCTTTACAAGGTTTTATTCCAAAAATACAGTAGTAGGGAGATGGATTTTCTGTGTTACTAATGGACAGCATACCTTACAGTCTCCATTGACGACATACTGCCCGCTCTCCCTGTCCCTCTTCCTCTCATCTGACTGGCGTTTGAGCCCACGCACAGACGTGTGCCGGATGACCGAGGCTTCTTTTGGGAGAGGTGGCACCACAGGGGGCGTCTCCTCGTAGTCGTAGAGGCGAGGCAGTGGTGGCCTGGGTGGGGCTGCATCCTCTGCCTGGACAGTAACCAGGCAGTAAAGGATTTAGTATTTTAGAAGTACCTTAAGTACTGCTGTATCGCTGATGACTGTAGGTGGCGGTAGAGCTCCTAAACACAATCCAGCAATAATTCCTGTAGCTTAAAAGGAAGTCAACTCCGCCATGCAGTATTTCAAAGCAGAAGGGAGACACTCACCCACTTTGGCATGGTGCTGTGAGGCAAAGTGTGGGAGAAGATGCTGGGGATGGAGCTGCGAGGAGGAGGCTGGACCTCTGTGCTATGAGAAGGCACTGCCGGGTCTGACACAGAAGGCACTAATTTCCTCTCTGGTGGGACGTGTGAGCACACAGAGACCAAGGTTTAACATTGAAATGTAAGCAGGTTTGAAATGGATTTACAGTCAGGAATGGGTGAAATTTCTGACCACATTTACACAATTGCCCTACAACACTGTTAAGTGATAATAATACAATATGTGGACAATATCAAATATCTCTAGTATCTCTAATAGCCTATATATTCAGTCTGTGTGTAACTGCTCTGGTAATTGAAAAAGGTGGAAAGAGTGTTTTTACAACGCATTCATTAACATTTTGTCAGAGGCTGCAGACAAATCAAAGGCAGATTTCTGTTTTAAGTGGCTTTTGCAAATAAAAACTGCTGTGTTGCAGTGGTTACCAACCTGGGTTCTGGACAGAGTCGATGGTGATCTTGTAGTTGACTTTGCTGGCACTCAACCCAGCCATCACGTCCTCAATCCTCCACAGCTCACGCTTCATCTCACTTTTCTCTTGCTACAGTTTGACACATGGATGCAAACACACATACACATTTGACTCTTCTGTAATTTGTACTGTTCAGTTGTAGTTTTGTTCAACTTGGTTTTCAATGTTACAGATTTGAACATTTATAAAGTGGGCATGTAAATAGTTTTAAATGACTGGGTTGTTCTATCAATGAACTCATGATAGAGAAAAAGATATTATTAGAAGAAAAGGATGTGGGAAATGTAAGATTTAAAACTGTCTGGAAAACTTGAGCACAGACAAAATATAGACAGTTCAAAAGCTGCAGATATTGTATAGAAATCCCAGCCTATAATAAAAGGTTGATGCTTTAACTGAGAAACCAAAGCTGGCCGTTTTGAGGTGAAACTGCTCTGAGCTGCAGTACCAGGTCTCACCTGAGGGGTGGCGCTGTGGTTCATGTGTGTCTGCAGTGCCGCCCTCAACTGCTCCACTGATCTCTCCAGACTGCTGTACTCCTCCCAGGCATGTGCCATCTCCTGCATTACACAAACACAAAAAGTTTTAGGTTACATATAGAGTGGAGTCCACAGTGCAAGGTACCTATATAGAAACCAATACCCAAACACACTTTCTCAGAGACACATACTGCACCTGCAGGCTGAAACCATTGACCATCTAGTTTTTTTAATTGTTCATACACCTATTAATTATGGCTATCCTTAAAAATGGATCACATAACTCCCTTATGGATAACTTGGATGCAAACATTTCAGATAGTGTTAATCTTGTCATTATTTGGGGTAAATAACATTCACAGTTGTAAATAGAAAGGCAGTACTTCCTCTTTCTTCGTGTGCATATGCAATTTTGCCAACTACTATAATTCACTGAAATCTATGGAAGAAATTAACAGAAAAGACGAAACGTTGTCTTATCTATATCTAAGTCCTTGCTTTTTTAATGTCTCTTACCTTGCTGTTTTGTGCATCTCGTCTGTTTATGTTTGTTTTTGCTATTTTTTCTTTTTCAGAATAAGTTTTCAGAATAATATTTTCTGCTATGTTCAAATGTGTTTGTGTTCATAACTTTATTATCTTCCTCATGTTCAATTAAAAAAGGTGACACATGCATATAAACACAAAGATGCCCTGAAACATGTACACATATATACACTTATTTAAGCAGTCTTGTATATACTAAGTGCATACATTTGCCATTGTGTGATGTATACATTGCATACATACGTAGATTTTAGAAAAATATCCTTTCCTATGCTATCCAACCATATTTCTCCTAACTATATATACAGTATATTTTCTGTCTCTTACACACACACACACACACACACACACACACACACACACACACACACACACACACACACACACACACACACACACACACACCGTGGAGAGGCGTGATATTTGTGCCCTGATGGTGACCAGATCTTCCTGCAGCAGCCTCTGCTGGTAGGCGATCTTGTGGGCGTGGGTCGGCTGCTCCTGGTACTGCTCCATCTGCTGGTGGGACAGATCCAGTACACTCTCCAGCTTGTCCTGAGGGGGTGAGCAGGAGGTCAAGCAAAAACTAAGACCTGCTTCCTTTATAGAATTGTGTTCTAAAAATGTGCACTGAACATTGTTCAGTAGATAACACTCCTACTCCAAAAAATCCTCCAGAGGGCAGCATGTCTCTACAGTCAATCATGAGCCGGCATGAGATCTCATTTAACCTCCTCTTACTTACCATCTGAGCTGTATGTAATCAGGCTTTCATTCAAGACCTTATAGTGTATACAGTATTGTAATTCTACTCTTTATGTGTTCAGCATCCCTTCAAGAACATGGAACTAGTGCCCTAAGTTTGGGTTCTATGTGTTTTGGACAGACAGGAAATCGAGAGTCAGAGAGATCAATAACCCCACCTCTCCTTCAATAGAATTTCCTCTGTGACCGTGAATGTTGAAACTAGAAATGAAATCTGATATGTACTGCTCTGTGTCCTCTCTTTGATAGCTGAATCACTGTCTGTTATCAAACTCCACTGCTGCTCAGTTCATAGCTGCAGAGTCAACTTTGTCCTTGGATGTAGCACAATTATTGCAGTATTTCTTTTAACTACCATTGTTCCGGTTGACTCATCAGACTGACTGAAGCCCGTAGAGCTACATAACTAACAGAGCGTGTACCTTGTCCTCCTTCAGGGAGCTGATCCTGGCCTCCAGATCCTTGAGGATCTTGTCCTGCTCACACAGCCGACTTAACTTCACCTGCAGGGGGAGACACAGAGCTGAGTGGGCAGGGAGAGAGAGATGGGGCATTGTAGGAATAGACACTCTCACAGATAAAGCACTTCTCTAGTGTTCACCAAAGCGTGTCTGTGTGTTGACCTCTGGTAATTAAGTGGCCCATTTACTTAATTACAACTTCCCCTTGTTTTTGCAGCTGTAGGTAAATTAGTACAGTGAACAAAAAAACATGTGTTTCTGAGTGTGTATAGTGATGTGTTTATGTGCATGTATACATATCTCTTTTTAAATGTCTGAGTACATGCATGCAGTTTGGTAACACTTAATATTCACAGTCCCGTAGCTCCTGTGGTCTCGATCAGATGTAATTACTGTGAATGAGCCCATTACACAAAGTGGGTGCGACCCACCTGACACTTTTAATTACAGTGTCAGGGAGACTTTGAGCCTTGTTAATTAATCCCAGATTAAACTCTGCAAACTTCAAGGCAAAGGGTGGATCACTTTATCATCCTGCGGTAAAACAACAACATAACATTTATGTAATAAGGTTGTGGTTGAACCGCTGCATGTGAACAAAGTGCTTATTCATATACATTTTTACACTCCACACTAGTTTCTATATTCCATTAAATAAATTATTAATCCTGTTGTTGTCTCTACGGTGATGTTGTTGGATCTAATCAAATATTCATCACAGACAACGTGTTCATAAATTGTTTAAACAGTTGTGTATGAAGCTTATACTGAGAAATACTTTAATAGGAGGTATAAACCTGTTTGAAAAACCGCAGGGGATTGTTTGGATTGTCAAACTGAAAGCATTTACGTATTAAAACTCTACATTCTGTTTGACCCCTGAAGCAAAGAATAATAGTGTATCACGTCCTCCCACACTTTTTCCACAAATTTTATATTTTGCCTTCATTACCCTCACTTTTCCCCAAATTGCTACCATAAACAAATATTTAATGTACCATTGTCTAGAGTGGAACAAAACAGAGCAAGACAAACTGAAGAAGGTTGAACAATCCATATATTTGCTTAAACTGAATGTGAATATGTATGTATGTACATCAACCTACATACAGTAATAGAAAATAATTTGATACATTTGAGTTTTTCATGCAGTAAGTGCAATATATGAAGAGAAACTACAAAAAAACATTAACATCTGGTCTGTATTTAATGCAGCCAACATTTTAGGAAGCCATTAAGCTTATACTTACATCCACATCACTTTCTGCAACCTTGACAGGTTTCCCTGACTCCTTCAGTGTCTGACTTCCAACTACCTAGAAATTGCAAAATAAACATTTCCAAATGTTAGTTGTACAGCAAAATGAAGTGTCTGAACCATGGTATAACAGTGCTGAAAGAAAGTAGATACAGGACACAGAGACCAACTACAAACTACAGTATTAAAAGGCTGAGACAGACTATCTGTGACACATTATCTTCGCTTTGTATACATGACAATATGAGTGAGTTTTGGCACACAAAATCAGCTCTTGCCACGAAGAACACAATGGCTATGGACACTTTGAAGCCCTGCACAAATGGACTTATCCATAAAACCTCTGTACATGATGTCCCAAAAACATACAGGAAAGTTGCAGTATTTATTTGTGAACAGGAAAATACTTGTTTTAGGAACACATCCTGGACTGCTTGAGTTCAGGTGCTCACTTTGAGTTGTACTGGGGTTAGTGACAGGGTTGTATTAGTGCTAAAATAACCTTCTGAAACACTCTTTTCTAGTTTGAAAAATATTAAACAGAGCATGTGAGCAAATTCAACTAAGAGAAAATCAACAAATTTCACTGACAACAGCTCTTTCTTGTTCTTGAAAAATTTAAGTTTAGGAGTATATGTGCTCCTTTTTGGAGAGATATGATACAGTAGAGTCCTGTGTTATTCTCTAGGAGGTGCAGCGTTTCAGAGATGATGGTAGAAGCAGCTGGCTTTTCAACCACCGGGCCACAGCCACAGCCACAACACATGCACTGCCGAGCCATCCCATGCCCACTTTTCAACAGCATCGTCAACATCACCACATGGGGGGGAGCGGACAGGTTCACGTGGAGATAAGACATTTGATGCCATTCAAGCCATGAATGCGGTGCTGTAAGCAATGGGATGGTCTTTCTAGAACAAAGACTCTCTACACATCTGAACACACACACACACTCACATACTATACACATGCATCCCTACTCCAAACCCTGTAGAAACATGCACAAGCATAAATGCCCACTCACAACTACACCATCACAGTCACACTACATACATTATATCTCTTTGTGGTGTACATTTACTGGATACAGAAACACACACACGCACACATACACATACAGCTTACGTTCATTAGAGGCCTGAGAGGCCCAGCAGTGCAGTGCAGTAGTAAACTGTGAACTGCGAGGATCAGGGGCTCTAGAGCTCTGATCTGGGAGTCAAAATAACAAAGACACAATGCCGCAGTCACAAAATGGCGGCTGCTTTCGTGAGATGCTTCTAAAACCACACAAGATTTCAAATTCTACTGCCGATATTTTGTCTCACACGGATTCCTAAACATCTTTATTCGTAGCTGTGAACCGCTGATTTCTCGGTTCAACAGTTCAACATGGGTTGAGTGTTACAAGTGACTGTCAATAGGAAACACCAAGTGTGTTAGTTTGAGCTATTTCAAATCAGAAAAGGCACAGCAGAAATCAAACACTAGCAGAAGTTAAGTTAAAATAACTAACAGGGATCAGGGGATAAACTCTGTCCATCTCCATATCTCACCTTTAGGTCCAGATACTCCAAGTCCTTCTTCAGCTGCATATAGGTATCATCAGCCTAGAAGGTGACAAACATGTGAGTGTCGATTATTGATTTGTGTCAACAGGAATTAATAATTCAACATCATCATCTGCATCTAAATAAGCTTCACTGGCAATACATCTAGTAGTGACATTTGTGTGTCGAGTATGAAGTAGGAACTGCTGCTGTGTCTGTGCCAACATGCATCACAACCAACACACACACACACACACACACACACACACACACATAACAGTAAAAACAAATTCCTTTATCTTCTCAGAGAGGCTGAGGTGCTCCTACTGCAACAAACAAAACATGAGCACAAACCAGATCCATTAGAAGAGGCACATCTTGAAACATTGCTGAATTCAGATTTAATTCAGTTCACTTCACTCAACAAAAAAACAGACGTCCAAAAAAGGAAGATTTACGAATCAGACCAAAGACCAAACTGACCGAACACATCCACAGCCAGCTGGTTAGCCAAAGCATGGGGATGGCTTTGTGGACACTGAAAAGTTAGCAGCACAACATGCTATGGACAGTATCACTAGAAGCACAATATGGAAACTGACCAGCCAAGAACAGCACATGGAAAAAGAGGCGGATGGTTCTATGATGGCAGCCAGGCCAGCGCTCACAGATTAACCATGCCCGATGTCACACCACTAGAGCACGGGAGCTGTTGGGTAGAGGTTGCCACTGATATACTGAGGCTTGGCGATTGATGCTGCTGGTGTTTTAACTTTTGTGTTTTGGTTTGTCTTCTATTTATTATTTTACATTTCAACATAGATTTACAGATTTTACAGAACAACTGGTGTGTCTAGATGTGGATGGAAAGGATGTCAGTATTAGTGAATATGACTGTCATGTTATGAAACATTTGTTTGATAAGTCTGCTTAATAGGAAGTATTACAGTGAATTTGTGTTTTTTTGTGCGTGATTAAAACATCTTTGTGGTGAAATGTTAATGAAAAATTATGAAAAATGAGACAATCACAGCAAAAACTAGTGGATTGAAAGAAATTTTAGAATTCCATACAGGGTGATTTAAAGGTTTAACAGGTATGTCAGATCAGCTCTGAATTTAAAGCTAACAATATCTTTTTATGTGGTATTTGGCAGTAAATATTGCTGTTTGTGTGCATGAATTTTGATGTGTTCTTAATTTGGGATCCCAATCATCCAGCGCCTTGGTTGACATGATAACATGCCACCACGACCCGACCCTGGATAAGCTGATGATAATGGATGGATGGATCATCCAGCACTCACAGAGACCAAGTGCTGGATGATTGGGGTAGTACAAACAAGTCGCATACAGAATATTTTCAAATATCTTCTGTAATTGACAGCCTGACCTGGTGACAGCACTAAAGGGAGTGACAGGAGGTTATTGAGATTACCAAAGCTCTGAGGACTAAGATTACTCACATCAAATGTAATGAAAATCCAGAAATTGCTTGTTTAGAAAATCTTGTCAAAAATCTAACTGTTGGACAAATGATAACTTTGAGGGTATGCTAAAAATGATTAGAGTCCATCATCTGGGAACAAGGAAGGTCTTTCCATATAAGGCTTGCTGAGATATTTCACTCTGGACACTGAAGTGTTGGACAAACAGATTAACAGACAGACAAACTGACCAACTGTGCCGTCTAAACGAATAATTGACAAAAATACTGTCAATAAGAAAATGTTGAAAAGTCATAGTACAAATTATTCTACTTGTGAAATAAACATAAAGAAAACAACTAATGATAGAAATGCAATATGTCTAGTGGCAACCTCTACCAGCCCATGGTAAAATGAGGGGTGGGCAGGCAGGCATGCCACGGGGAACCCCCACCTGGGTGTTGAAAGGGCTCATGGGAGCTGAGAGTCCCATATGTCCGAGGTGGGACACAGGAGAAGGGACGGAGCTGAGCAGGGGGCTGTTGCTAGTGGTAGTAGTAGTGAGAAGTTGGTTGTGGTGGTAGGGCTCTTTGGGACCGTTGAGCCTCTGGAGCTGGGCTAACGTGTGCTGACGTGCGGAGGCCATCTTGGCCTGATGCCGGCGCAGCTGAATGAGGAACAGGGTGAGCTCCTCGGGCTGTCAGGTACCACAGGACATTAAATCTGGCATCAAAACTGACCACACCAAACTTCAGTGAATTCTATTGTTTTAAAAAAGGAAACCTTGCATTCACAGCGCTAGGAGCCAGTTTTTTGGGGAAACAAATTCAACTTGCAGAACCACCTAAATTCAGGAGGATTAATGGTGTTGAAACAAAGGCAGGACTCAGAGCAACACACTGTACATGATAAGCAATGTCTCCCTAATGTTCAGCTACAGCCAACTGGCTCGTGCCGACTAGAGGCTAATCAAGATTTGATAAATATCTATTAACATTTTGTTGTAGTGGAGAATGAATAGTCTTCTGGTGACTGATTAATTGAGTGTCTGGCAGTGTGAACACATTAGAAGAGATATTACTGGACTCTGTAAGCAGACCACGAGACAGAATTACACATCACTTCCAATACAGCCCTCTTAAGCCTTCAAATGTTCAAAAATAGAATAATTAAATATATGCTTAACATATATTATATGTTATGCTTTTATTTGTAAGACATACCGTTTTGCCATGAAGGCTGGGTGCACTGACTGTGTGTGTGATGTAACCAGATGGAGGCATTGACCGTCTCTCAATAGTAGCAGCCTGACAACACATAGAGAACACATTATATATATAAAAAATAAAAATCTAATTGCAGACTCTGTGTATTAAATCATTCACAGAATAAAGACGATCCAACCACACACAAAAATCAGAATAATGAACAATCTGCTATCTCAACATAACATTTTCATATCACCAAACGCTATAATTCTTGTTTTAGACGCTACATGACATCGATAACAAAATACTGTATTGTTTGTTATCTCTGGGCAAAATTAGGTTGCTGGTAGATGTTGGGGAGTGAATGTTAATTTGCATATTTTTGCTTTTTCTATCAATTTCAGAACTGTGATATGTAAATATTAATGTAGTGACTAATTTTTCTAAGTTTGCATAACCGTGACATATGTATATATATATATATATACACATATGTGTGTGTTTGTGTGTGTGAATACACATGTATAAATTATTCAATATAGTATCTCTACAGTTAACAGTTTCTTTTTGACTGATACAGTTGAGGTAATGTAACAGACTGAATGCCTTAAGGATATGTCTGCCATTATACCCCAAGGCACTAAAACAATTATTCTGTTCAGTGGAGCATAGTTCCAACATCCGCCCCGCACTGTCAGAATGAGTGACATTGTTCTGGATGACAAACTATTCTATTTCATATTTTGCACTTGACAGTGGAAACAAAAAACATTAATGGTCTTAATCTTTGGGAGAACACAAACAATAGGGAATCAGTGTGATAAAAATCAATGCAAAAGAATGCAGTGACAACAGGAAATAATCTGTTGTCAACCACATGACATTCAATCTAATGTGTCTTACCAATAATATCTATACAAGCTACCATTACAGTACCTATCCTTCATACATCACAGCCTCTCGTCTGTGACTTTTTCTTTTTTGTTATTTAGTATTACTTTGTTAAATATTATGGGGACACTTGAATATTTATCAGTTGATTCGGTGCTGTGGAGCTACTGTCAGAATTTGGGTCGACTGCTCTGATCTTAGTGTGAACTAAATGCCTACAATATAAATATAATGCAGCATTTTGTATGGAATCCTCTCTGTGCACAGTAAATACAATATAATACAAACTCTCTTGATTTTAAATTTGAGTTTTTTGTTGTTCTGCGTCTGCCAGACGATATTTACCTTGAGCAGCTGAGATTTGGTCCTACGCGGGGAAACAGAGAAGGGGATGTCCACCACTGAACTATCTCCCACAGGCCTTACTGTCACCCGTTCAGCTGGCGTGTGTGGCCTCCTTGTGGGCGACAAGGTTCTGCTGGTGCCGGGTGGAGGCCCCGGTGGTGGGATGTCTGCAGATGAAGGTGGTACTGACACACAGCGGGGCGGCCCTTCGGACCTGGGTGCTGAGGAGGAGGGAGGCACAGTGGATGGGGGGCGGGGGCCAAATGGGTACTCTGGGGCCGGAGTGTAGAGTGGAGCTGTGGGGCTGCCGTGACGGAACTGGTGGCGCTGCTGCCACTCGTACAGCTGCCAGACGGTGTTGGACCCTTGGCCACCCTGCTCAGGGGTGAGGCGGAAGTGGCTTAGGCGGTCCTGGGCGTACTTGTACTCGCCAAGTCGGGCAGGCGTGGGGCTCTGGCGAGGAGTCTTTGGCAAGGTCTGGTATGCGTCCATGGAGGTGAACTTGTGCTGGGTTGGTGGTGTGCGACGAGGGAGAGTATTCTCTCTGGATGGGGGGCTGTAAGTAGGAACAGCAGGACAAAAATTATGTTTTTTCACAGCCAATAGACAGAATATCTAAAATCTTTAGCTGAGCTTAACTTAGCTGTAAATTGCTTTCAGTGCACTAGCAAATCATTTGTGAAATTTTGTTAAAATCAATCAATATTTTCCAATTTGAGTCGAGTTGAGGAATAAAATTTTGCACAGTGCAGACCTGATATGTTCATGACAGGTTGGTATGTTCATATCATGTTCAATCTGAAAGCAAAGGTCACTGGAGGGAACTCTATACTGTACTTATACAGTACATTGTATATAATATTTATATACAATAAAACAATAAATAATCATTTGTATTTTCACAAAATAAGATCTATGACAGTGACCTACCCTTTGTGCTCAGCCTTCTGCACTTGGACCCACTGCTCCACTTGCTCCAGAGTGCTCTTCCTCTGCCCATGTTTGTGTGTGTCAGCAGGGGCCACCACTGGGGCCCTCTGGTACGTCCCTGCAGCGATCCCATTGGGCTCCAGGATGGGACTGGGCGTGGAAACAAGGCCGTTCCTCGTGCAAATGCTGGAGGGCAGTGTTGAGGCGGCTCGTGAAGGTGCCCGGGATGGAACCCTGGACACGGGCGCTGAGGCCGACACGTTGTCTGACTGTGGGAGGGCAGAGGGTGCAGGGTTGGAGGGGAGGGAAGTGTGTGTGTCCATTTCCAGGGCTGTACTTCCTATGGCGTGCTCCAACATGGTCGTGGCAGGAGATTCTTTGTGGAAGCTGCAGCGTTCGTCTGCCTCGCGGTGTATGGGCTCCAGGAGAACCTCGTGGACGATGGGTCTCGTGGTCTCAGAGTCTGGGGTCTTGGTCTTATGGTGGTTTACATGGTTCATCTGCGGGACAGCATTCTGCTGCAAAATACTGAACTTCTCTAACTTGTCAGATGGTCTGCGGAGAGTGGAGATGACATAAAAAGCCCGGATAAATGTTGGCCGCAAACTGAACACAACAACATTCATTCTGATTTGAAAAGGACATCTTCCCCTTAAACTTATCATGCACACACACAATCTACAAACAGAAAGATTAACTGGAATCTTTTTAATTTGAACTGTGATGGATGTAATGGACATTCATAGGACTAACAGATTAATTTCCTCCTAAAGTCTTTGTGTTTGATCCATAATTATGACCATTATTTGATTTGATTGCTTTGAATTTATTTTGATCATTAATTGGTTTTAGAACAGAAAGATTGAATTGATGTAGTGTGTTTTCTTTTTGTCCTGCTGTGTGTTTTTGTAGCGAGGTTATCCGGGCTGTTCCTTCAACTTGCTCATGTCAATATTTTTCAATTGACAGGTTTAGGATTATGATTATTCTCCTGTTTAGCACACAACTCTTACTTTGAATGTTTGGATAAAACTACGCCATAAATGAACTAGTAATGAACTAGAGCAGTTATCCTGACTTTTTTTTAAAAACTTCTCAATGGATTTCAGTGTCTTTCACTCAATATGCACCGATTCTGTTTCATTTGATCCCTCCCCTGATATCCCATGGACACTGTGTTCTATCATTTCAGGAGTCTTTGTTCCGTGCTGAACTGAATTAGAACTAGATGAATGTCACATAAAAGAGAAACTTTTAGCTTCAACCCAAACTTTAATGACGGGGCTAAACCACACCTACACCACACAGACCATTTTAAACCAGGGTAGATGACAAGCAAAGCCTTGTAACCACAACCAGAATTTAAACTCATGAATGAAATCCCGTGTGAGAAGAAGCTAGAGAAATAGTCAGATCTCTGAAATTCAATGAACCGTACAAGTTTACTTTTACATGAGTAAAACAGCCTCAGGTGCCGGCAAACTCCCTCCCAGCAGTTGGTATCTGAATATATTTAATACACTTTAGCACTATGATGACAGGTATTATCCCATTAGATTGTGTTAAATGGGGCATAGAAGGCATTATATTTTATATTAAAAGTAGCTTTGCTAGCAATGTATCTAGCAAAGTAACCAAACTCTTTCAAAAGAAGTGCAACATTCCAGCAAATAGTAATGCTACTGTCATAGTTTCTTCAAATAAGAAAATGTTAAAACAAGGGGAGAAAAATAGGTTTAAAAAATGCCCAAGTGGAAGCTGTCTTCAGCTACATTTCTCTTCTGTCACTCATTAACAGCTAGTGTAGTCTTGTGGGTTTTCCCCGACCAAAAACAAAAAATAAAAAAGGAGTGTAAGCTCGTGTGTCTGAGGCTGCCACTGAATGATGGGACGTATTTGATCTGTGCCACCTCCCCCCGTCAATACATGAATAATACATGAGGGAGCGGCTGCTTGTTCAAAAACAGATTTTCACAACACCCGAATGTACTCTTTGAAAGCAGGCAAATATGTCCAAAAAACACCATGCTCATATGCTATAGCTTCAGGACTGATGGATCTGTTACAGCTGTAAAGCAGAGTGGGAATCAGTGCCATTTACAGTGACAAAAGAGACAAACAAATGACAATACTTTCTAGGCAGTATGTGTGTATAGGATATAACAGCTATGGCGCCTACTTTAAAGTATTGACTTCAGTATTTAAAGTATCTTTTTTTATGGACTGTGCTTGCAAGTATTCATAAGTTCATACACAATAAAAACTGTGTTTAATTACAGATAAATATATATATATATATATATATATATATATATATATATATAAATAAATCAAGCAAGCCAAGCCAACAAACAAATAAAATGTCCCAAGAAGAGCAAGAATATAAAAAAATTAACATTTTACAACAGTAAAAAGGTCCATGAACTAGCTGTTGAATCAATAAAGTTTAAGTATCAAAGTATGTTTACAGAATATGTGTATGTTTCTGTTGGCCTATATGTGTGTTAAGTACACTAATGATTCTTAGTGTAATCCCAATTAGGGATGGGACATTAATCAACTTTACATCTCAATAAAAATACAATAGATGAATGAAGCTTTTGCTTTAAGCAAAATACTGACAAGAAACACAAGGGGGAGCTCATGGCGTAAGGTGGAGACGTGAATGTTTTGTCAGAAGAAAAAGAAAACGTAATGATCTGGAACTTATCTCGAGCCTTTTTATTAAATAGGTCAGTGTTCTGTATGAGTACATTGCTGGTATTCTACAGCTGCCTGGTTGGGTCAATGAATGCTTGTAAGGTGTGTGTTTAGTTGGTTCAACAAGATGTACTGTGTGTATATGTGTCTGTTACCGTACCTGATGAGAGTGTCAGAGCGATTGTGCATCAGTGTGGCATGGTTCATGGCCCTCAGCCAGGTGTTCATGTCCTCCTGGGTGTCAGCGCTGAAGTAATACGTCCGCATCCCACTGTGCTCCGCCTGCGAGCCAATCACAGAGCTCTGCTTGTAAATGTACGAGCGCATACCAGTGTGGCTAGCCTATAGGAAGAGAGAGGAGGCTTGGTCAGTGGCGTGGTCAGAGAAACAGAAATCAGCTGAGAGACGGTGCGTTACATGAGCTTCAGCTTTGGTCAGAGAGACGGGGAGATATCATGCTGTCCAACAATAGAAACAACATCAAGCATTGACCAATACAGAGAGAGCCAATGAAGGAAACCACACAATAGAAATACAAAGACAAAAATGCCAGCCAGTTAGGACCAACAAAGCCACAAGTTTTGACCAATGAGAGGAAAGATTCTTCAGTACAATGGAGAATAGAAAATGGGAATGTCAGACAAAAGAACCCCAAAGTCTCCTCACAAACTTGTTTTTTCCTGCTATTACAGCTTACAAACCTACTCAGATAAAACAAAAGAGCAAATGACAGTTTACAAATGTAAAGAGTATAATAGCTTTTCATTTATGTTGTTATGTAGTTATGCTGTACTTTCTACAGTATATCTTGCAAAATAAGGAAGTAACATCAATCACAGTGGTCTGGCATGGAAAAGTAGTTCTGCAAAAAGGCAGCGTGAAATGCAAACCTGATTAGATTCCACACCCTGACAAGGTAATTGTACTCTGTGATTTAAGTGCTGAGCTCATGACATGCATATTCAAACTTAAGATGGATATTTCTTTGTATACGCAGTAAAAAGACTATTATTCAGGTGATCTAATACGTTGTTGTCAGTGTGTGACAGTCAAGAGCACATCTGCACCATTTCCTCAAAGGATTTAAAGATGCAATGCATCAAAAGAATTGTACTGTACTGTACTGAACAGAAAATATAATTTGTGATGTTGCAGAACCATTTCAAGCAGAGCCAACTCACATCTAGTCTTACTGACCGATGTTTAACCGCATATTATCAGTTTTACTCTTTGAAACCAATCTGTGTTCAGTGCAACAGTTATTTTGTGCTTTTAAGATATACTAATCGGTTTATCTGCGTTAACGATGGATAAAATGATTGTTTATGTTTAAAGTAAAAAGGGCTGTCAGTGACAAACCCACAAAGAATTATCACATGAAACTTTTAAAGCTGGTGAACAAAGTGGAGCATTTATCAGCTTAAAAGACAGATATTAGAGGCAACCTTAATAGAGCTAAAATGAAAGTAAATATGACTTATATTGGCGACCAGAAACCGTTCTTTAAATGAATGTTTATGTTGCTCCTGTAAAAATAAGCAAGTGTTTGCTTGTTCCGCTGCTCCCAAGTGGCCCAAAAAAAATCAATTAATATATCTGAACTGATTTTTTTTTAGTACCTAAACAACAATTTCCTTCATCTCCCAGAGTGCATTTTACTGCATCCCAAAGAACATGATGAGAAGTAGTTGTATTCAAAAGGTCATTCTGTTCGAGTAGTTGGACAGAGCAGTAATACTAGCGATTGCACAGTAACTGCAGGGAAGAAGAAGAGTATTTTCCAGCCTAAGGAAAATGAGTTTCTCTCTCAAAAATCAACTTGTTTCTGGCTGCACTGCATTTGGTCTACTGAGACTACCATCAGTAGAGAAGTTGGTATCTCTGCTTCACCTACTATGGATATTTCTGCCTAAAAGTTTGTTGAACTATGCGTGTCCAGAGAGAATCCTTGAGAGGGTAACACCAAGATGTTGTCTGTTTGATAATTCATATAGTCAGAAAATGTTCCTGCTACTGAACTTGTTTTCAGCTATGCTGAAAATATCTCAACATGATGTCAGTGATATTATAATTGGCTAGCTATCCACAGGGATAAGCTAACACGCCATCAAAACAACAGAACTGAACAGGAAATTTAAGGAACACTACACTAACAGCTGTTTTTCAATTAATAGCATTTTAAGTGTTATGTATCCTTGATAAAGATGTCCTTGCTGTAAAAGTGGGGTTATTAGAGGCCTTTTAAAGTGAGTTGCACTCCATTGAGTACACCTCTATAAATGTCCTACTTTTCCCTTTTTCTGTGTTTGGGACTGGAAGACAAATGAGAGAACACACTCAACAACAGATGCATGCAAATGAAAAGCAATTAAACACTAAATCTTCCCTACCCTAATTCATTCACTGAATAATGAATGCAGGATAATAAGTGAGTGTTGTGGTGGGATTCCACTATGGCTACAACGCGATCACTTCGCTGATTTGGTTTATATACTAATAAAATGAGTGTGACTACTCAGCAATTCAGCTTTTTGTCTGCAGCTTGATGACAATCAGAAACACACAAAACACCACACCCACTTGTGCAGTTCAATGTAATCAACAATTCATGAATAATACAAAGATTGTCCTCCCTGCTGTTCTATCCGTTACTATAAACTAAATAAACCCCAACACACAGATGCAGACATGTACACTAAAAACATAAATGCTCCCATTCCTACATCCCTCCCAGGTTCCCTAAGAGCTTAATATGTAACCTCCCTTTTGAAAGCACTGCTGTATGGCTTCTTAAAAAGTGGCTGCTGCTGTGCACTAATGCAATGACAAATATAATGAAAAATGAAAAATATGATTTCCTTACTCACTCTGCTTAAGTATCTACTTGACCCTGATCCTGGTATATATTTTAAGATCTGAGGGTTGATTGACCACTCACTTGATTCGTCCAAGTCCAGATAACATTGTGCACTAACCTAGTCTCACCAGAGAGGGTGATACTCCGGTGGATGAGTAGTGGGGATGAGTATGCATGATTGCACTTACAATATCTGAAGGTAAGCAGAGGCTAATAATTTCTTCCTCCAACTCAGAAACATTTCCAGAATTAGAGGCTTCCTTTTGCAAACACATTATTCTTATAAGCAGCCGTTCTAACCAGAACAAAAAGATCAAACCATATCCTCCATAATCTGCATTGGTTACCTGTTGCATTCAGAATACAATTTAAAATCTTCCTCTTGTTTTACAAAGCACATGCTGGTCTGGCTCCACAGTACATCTCAGACATGCTGTCACTTTATAACCCCAGAAGATCTCTCTAGTCACGGATACCACCAACAGTACACTGTAACTACTGTGAAAGCTGTATAGCTGTCGTACTGTAAAACAGAATATAACTGTGCTGGTTGAAGCAGGCCAAGAAATTCCAAATAAACCCTTATATGCGTAAACTATGTTGTGATATAATTTAAGCTGACCGCAGTACAGAACTAATTCAGATCTGTAGGATATTGCATAATGATATGTTCCCAAGCTCTGTATTTAACAGAAGCCAGAGAACACAAATATCTCAGTGACATTTGGAGAATACAACCATCCTTACACAACAGGCCATGTTGAATGCATGTATGTCCGGTGTTTTTCCCTTTTGTGCTCATGGAGTCGTGTGCTGTGCATTTGCTGTCTTAGCACTTGGTCAATAGAAGTGACATTTTATTCTGACCCTGTCTCCTTGAAGGCTTTCTGATCAGCTAAATCCGCTAGAGTAATATTAAATGAAAGTCTGCAGACTCTTTGACCACAAGGCTATCCAGAGGAAAACAACAGACTGATCCATAAACAGTGCTCAGTTAGCCTGTGACTGTCAGGAATGGTGATGTGCTTAGGTACATTAGAGGACAGGAAACGGGCAGGGAAACTAGTTAGCAATCCCTCACACTTTAAAATGAGTAGGAGATCTATCCAAAAACACCTAAAATCTTGACGAAAGGAATAACAGCATCCCCAGGAAGCAGCTGTCAAAACACGCCTGCTCACTCACCATCAGCATTCTGACAGACGGCCTCTTACAGCCACAATGGGACAGGCTTCTTGAGGAGAGAGAGGACCGTGCTGCTAGTCAGATGTTTCAGCACGTGCAGGGACACTGGCAGGTATGTGCAGTGAAGCCACACAGCACAGAGACATAGGCAAATATTTGTACTGTAATATCTTGAATAAACTGAATTCAGACCCTACTTTAGATCATAGAAACTTTAACCAAACACTAAATCTACCTTTAATCTTAACACTAAATCCAAATGTTTTAGAGTGAAAACTGCCCAAAAATGACTTCATGTCGCAGACAATGTCACACCCATGACTTCCACCAGACCATACACACATTTAAAAGCCCTGTCAATTTCAATCTCATATCACCAGTGTTAATTTTTCCCTCTTTTAGCTGCATCAGAACACACACATACACACAATAGCTACAAAATCCAACACACGCCAGCAGTGGTCTAAAATAACATTAGGAGACACTTTAGCTGGAATGCTGAGTGGGTCATTCAGCTCTGAGTGCGTGACTGACACACCTACACACTGAATCCATACACAGCTAAGCCCCTTTTTCTCTCTGTGGTTTGAGTCTGTGTGGGAGTTGGTGGCAATTTTAAGGGTGTTCCTGTTTTCTCCACTACATTGTTTAATGAGGCTTTATGGGAAAATATCAAAAGTCCCTCTCTCCATTTCTTTCTGTCCTCTATTTCACCACGACTAGCCCTCATGGCTTCTTCCTTCCTCTCCACCTATCGCTTCCTCTCTTTATTCACCCTTTTTTTCCTAGCCCTAATCACTTCCTTCCCTTTGTGTGTTCTCTTTCACTCAGCCTTTCTTTTTCCACAAACTAGAAAATATCACTCACTTCTTGCACTCAGAAAAGCTTACAATAGTGTCGGCTCTCTTCCGCTGGACAGCCCCAGACAAACACACACACTCTCTGGTCCAGGCGCTATTTAAAGAGTCATTGTGCTCATAAAGATAAGCCTCAGCAACCAGGGCACCACAAAGCTCCTGATAAGGTACATTCTCCGAAATTTGCAACTGTAGAAATTGAAGTTACACTGAAAAACATCCAAATGGAACCAACAACAGATTGCGGGAGCCTTGGTTTTAAATCCAGCCTTTTTTTTAGAAAAAACATTCAGTGTTCCTACTTTGTTTCATTAAAAAAAAGTCCTGTTATAATACAAGAGGTCTCTCTACATCAAAGTTCCCTTAAGCAGCAGCTGCTTTGGAAAAATAAACATTTGAGTGACTGTGGGGTTGCATAGTCTGCGTCTCCAGTAAAAGATCTTCTACAGCTTTTAAACATTATTTTTTTCAGCTCTTCATTTCTAGATTAAGTGACGTGAGTTTCCAATAAAGTGAAGTTTTTCTCCACGCCATCAGAAAAACTGCATGCTGGTACAGTACATGTGACAGATGGAGGACACAGCGAGAGCAGCACATAGATGAACGATAAGCCCCACACCAGATAAGCCAAATACAAAGATTCATACTGAAGTGGAGAGAGGGAAGGACGGGAAAAAGACAGAGGGGGGATTAAATAAGAGAACGAAAGAAAGAAAAAAAAAAAAAACACGACCACGTCAGCCACAAGGACATGTTATTCTCAAAACATGCAACCAACAAAGGAATATACAAGGCTGCTGTATATTCTGTCAGGTTTTAACCCAAAAAACCACACCAACGGGAGACAATAAGGATATATAACATTTACATGTGGCAAAGCGAGAGCACATGAGAGGGTAGAGTACCTATTTACGGGAGGACTGTCACTGGACGATGCGACACACTCACAGGGAGGGAAGTCCCAGTCGGGCAGCCAACCAATTGGAACAAGAGAGGGAAGATTCGGTGAAAAGGGGAAGAGGAGTGGAGGGTGGGAGGTTGTCGAAGCTCGAAGGTTTAATTTGTGGGGTCATGAAGTGTTTAGGTCAATTTAGTAGTCAACGGGTGCAGCATTCACACACTCAAACACCATCATATAATACCCACCCAATCAGGCTCGCTCAAGTGGCTAGCTGGTCCTGCTGGCATGGGTTACAGACCTGGGTGTAGCAAGTGGTTTTAAATAGGAGTTGGTTTTAACCTGTTTTGGTGGGGTTTACTACAGTAGGGCACTTATCACTCCTGTGGTAGAAATCTGGGTTTTAGGAGAGATTAAGGAGGATGTCGTACATGTGTTTATATGTGCTTTACCTCTGACTGCAACCAGCATCACCTTGGGGTATAATAGTTGAGTGTCAGAAGTGTGAGGTGTAACCCTGTTACCATACCCAGCAGTGATGTCACTTTGCACTGACCCCCTGAGTACACTTCTACATCACTGCAGCGAGGTTAGAAGTCAAACGGGTGGAGGTCAGCAAAAACAGGATTTTAAGTGAATGCTCTTTAAAAAGTCGAAAACGAATAAACAGAAACTTTATTATTGTTCATCATTGTTTTTTTTTATAATAATTAACTTAAGCTCTGTGAATGTGAAATGAACAGCATTCATTTTTCCTCTTAATTTCCTGTATCCTATTTTTTTCTTCCTCTTTCCTGGGGGGGGTCAAATTCAAATACACATATTGCATACATTAAGTTATTATTTATTGGACTTAAATCATAATTGGGTAGCTACACAGCCTAAAGTCCATTGTCTAACAATGTCCAGTGTGATAGTAGCATACACCAGCTGGTGCTCTAATAATGAGGTAACCGTAGCCCTTAGTCAGAAGCAGATGTCTTCAGACGACTGTACACAACTTTCATAGGTTGTTTCGACTCCTCCAGTTAGTGGGTCGACCACTGCCCATCTGCTCCTGACTTGCAGCTTCTCTCCTATTCGACATCCAGCAAGAGGCTTTCTCTCTGCTTCTTTCCATCTTCCCCTTCACCAAACAGAAGCTGCAGGGAGGCCTCTGAAACTGACCTAACAAGGAACTGCCATGCCGGTCATCCTTTGTCTCTGCAGTCCTGCACTTGAGATTGATATTTTGGGGCTTTCCTGTCATTCTTCAAAGCCCTCCTCCAATGGCACTTCAGCTTCAGTCCAACATCAACCTTCATGTGCAAAGACTGTCCAATATATGGTGGGTTTAGGGATGTGGGAAGTGCCTGGCTTGGTTACCTTCTGAACAAAGCAGGAAGCAGAGTTTATCTGCCTCTCCCGCTCCAATTTATCAGCTAAGACCAGCAAGACTTTGTCATGACACCACCAGCCTTGGGTTAGAACAGTTTTGAACCCTGTCAGTATGTGCTCCTGCGTCCCCTTGCTACTGCAGAGTAACCAGCTGGGGTCTTCCATCAGCCTCGTCAGGGAAAAGAGTCATATACAGACCGCAGTAGGAATGAGATACGGAAAAGTGGTCTAATCTCCACAACTCTGCACATGTTAGCGTCCTCTTGAGTTGCTCCCACTTAGACAGCTTTTGATCTCCTCGATTCCTCCTCGAAGTTCCTCACTACTTCCTGAATCGTGGTTTGCTTGTCCCTTGCGTTCTTACCCTTAAGACTTTTTTTTAACAACATTCAACATTTCACTTTAAGTTTAAAAGTTAAATTCAACTTGATGACTCACTGACAACAAAAAGCAGATGGCTGTGTCTGTGGGACCTGAAAATATTGTGCAAATATCTGTATACCTGTACACCATTTTTAATCTATGAATAAAGTAGAAGCCTAGAATTAGAAGTACCTTGCAGCACATGCGGGAAACAGTGTTGTACATGCTGCACAGTATGTCTGCCTCTTCACTTCACACATGTCCGGTTTGACTCAAAAAGACTTGTGCCTGAGGGAATGGAGAAGCTTCATTCCATTCCAGAGGAGCTTGTCTGTCTCAATAAAAACACTGACAGACATTCAGTGCTAATAGACATCGCTACAACAGGTGGTGAGTGCTGCACAAAGCTGAGTGGTGGCTGTGTGATAGGCAGGCAGGGTTATGACTGTAGGAAGATATTGATCTGCCATTACAAAGGAGATTTCAGAAATCATCGACTGTTGAAAAAGCAATGATTGCCAAACTATTACAGATTTTTGATGAGGAAAATAATCCGGTTTATAGGTCCCATATGTAGAATTTAGTGGCATCTAGCGGTGTAATTGCAGATCGCAACGCCCTGTATTCAATGCCACACAAACAGAAGTTTTTGTTTAAAAACAGATGAATACCCATTGTGAAGTTATATAACCCCGACATTATGCTTGACAATATAGCTCAGGGGCAAATAGTCGCGTGCCAGGAAATCTGTTGGTCGGCATACAACAGGTGTCAGTTGGAAAGGAACACTTTACTTTCTGATGTATGAAATAAGAATGTCTCTGTCATCAAACCACTTGGTGGAAGCGTGTCAAACGTGCTTTAAATAGCATGCCGGGTATACATTTTAAGCATATATGCACCTCTTCATTACAGAAGAAATCGTTCCTTCCACTCCATTTTCTCCAATAGGAGAAATATAGGTGGATACACATGCACGCACACACACACACACACACACACACACACACACACACACACACACACACACACACACACACACACACACACACACACACACACACACACACACACACTATAACCCAAAACAAAAACAAACAAACAAAAAAATGTCATCACACAGTCATATTGGAGAAAGTAATTTACATATATGAATCAAAATAGAGTAGTATTTAGAAGAAAGACAGGCGTACCTTAAAGGCATACTTGCGGCTGATGTGGTCCTCAGGTCCCACGGGTGAAATGACATAGCTGGGCAAAGGAATACTGCCTAGGACCGATTCCTCTCTGCTGTCTGGGGAGAGAGAGAGAGAGAGAGAGAGAGAGAGAGAGAGAGAGAGAGAGAGGGTGGGAGGAACAGGGGGAGGAAAGGAGGGAGTGAGTAGATAATCAGGGTGAGGAAGGTGAGAAAAGGAACGAGAGATAGATATGGAGGAAAGGAAGGAGCAAGAGTATAAATATCACTCATCACCCACTAATTTCATCACTGCCTGCCACCAGTATCATACCACTCACATGCCATCATTCAAACCACGGTGTTGTGCCAAACAGTAAATGACCACTCTGGTATCCCAGTGTCACAGAGCTAAAGATGGCCTGGTTCAACTGGCAGCCAGCCGTCATTCCTATGTGTCTGCCCATCCACTGTACATGCTGGTGGAAAAAGAACTGTAAATCTGCACTCATGTAGAAGTATAATATAGTATAATATAGAATATAGAAGTATAATATACGTAAATGTGTATATACACATATACACACATATATACATATATATATACACATATATATATACACACACAAGTAAAAATACTTGTACTCTGAAGTATTCTTCTCAAAAACCGAGTATCATTTACTTTTTAACTAATGATGTTTAATGAATTACCAACATAACACATTTTGCCATTAATACATTTTGTCTGTTAAAATCATTCTAAAAATGTGTTTGAATGCGTCAAACACATGTCATTAACATAAATGCTTTCCAATGCACTGGAAACAATTCGTTTCATTACTTTATCTCCATTTGGTTTTTGTTTCTACAAGAAAATAGCAGCTGCCGAGATCCAGACAGACTACTCGGTAGAGGATTACATAGTGTAGTTCATAAGTATAAGTAAGTAAGAATACAGGCTAAAAAAATTACTCAAGTACCCCAAAAGATGACTTGATTACAGTAACGTGGGTACATACACACACAGACACTTGTCCTTCTATATTTGTAAAGACCTTCAATGACAATGCAGTCCTCTACCTTTTACATTAACCTACACCTAAAGTCTTTACCCTCAAGCAGCCCTTTGAAGAAGCCAGGACTAAATGTCCTCACAAAACATCCTTGCTCTCTAACGGTCCTCACAAAGATAGAAGTACAAATTCAAACACACACAAACACATGTATGCAACCAGAATAGGTCCTGTCTTATTTAGTTCACACATCTATAAATACATATGTACAGAGTATTTGTTTTCCTCTGAACATTGGGACAGCACGCAAGAATGTGTATGTGCACGTGTACACAACAATTACCACAACGTGAAATGTAGTAATGGTATGAAAATATGTGTGCACAGCACCTCCATGTATGTGTGGGTGTTTGGCTGAGAGGTGAAAAGGCGGCACTGTGGATTAAAGGGGTAAATGGCTAAAAATAATTCAAGGACTTTTGGAGGAGACATTCCATAAATGATGGGTGAGACGGTGAGGTCTTTTTATCTGCTTTGACCTGTCTTGTCTCACTCACAGACAAAGACATACACACACTGAGCAGACCAGACCGTGACAAGTGAAGCTAGATAACATCCAAACAGCATAAGAGTGGTAAGATTTTATCACTCTGTTTTGTCCATTTTTCTTTTTTCTTATCCAAAGGGTTTGAGGATAGAGGGTGTTCTGTTGCTCAGATAGTAAAGCCCCTTGAGGAAACTCTGTGATACTGGACCATGTAAATAAAATTTACCTGACACGTAAAAGAAATAAGAGGGAGAAACAAGGAATGTACAGTATCCAACATTTTAGAAAATACGGACATTTTGCTTGTTGTTGCATTTCGAAATAAGAAAAACAAAAGAGAAATACTGACATCAAGAGCCCCCACAAGGAACAGCCAATTTTTGGTCATTCTAATTTCCCACGGCCAATTGTGGCATCTTTAGTTCCTGTTTTCTCTGACTAACAGTCCAAAACCCAAAGAAACACAGGTTACTATCATGTCTGACAAACGGTTCTTGACATTTGAAGAGCTGAAATCAGACAATGTGTGGCATTTAACCTTGAGAGAGGAAATTGAAATAGTTACTAATTCATTGTGTGTCGGTTGACTCATCGCTTAATAGACTAATAGACTTTCAGCTCAACATGACTTCTTCATCCTTGACAGAAACCATCAATCCAATAAACGTAATAATAAAAAACAAATAGGGCGAAGGGAGGTTTTTATTTTTTTGGGTAAAACAAGAGATGAAGGGAGGGGATAAGTGCTGCTCAAGACAGATCAAAAGTTTTCATGTTGAGAGGAGAAACCTTTGAACTGAGAGAGACAGACAGCAAATAGAGAGGGGAAAAAAACGTCAGAGAATTGATTTCATCCTCCCGTCGAGGCGAGGAGGCAGACGAGCGTGTCCCCAAAAAGGTTTGGTTAAGAATATGGGGATGAAAAAGAAAGGCGTGGAGAGGTAGATAAAGACAGCCAGGGGATGGAGACTGATGGTGATGGAGTGTGAGATGTAGCTGTGTGTGTCCATATCTTTCCATGCATTTGGGCTGCAACCCACTGAGAATGATCAGATTAATGCCCGCCAAGATTGAATCACTGGCTCCTTTGTCAGCTGCACTTCACTTCAAATCCAGCATCACCAATTCAATTCAAACTTCTAAACTTTGTCCAAACCTTTTGTTGTGTGTGTGTGTGTGTGTGTGTGTGTGTTGGCTTGTTAGTGGGCCAACCGTCAAAAATTTTTCCAAACTACTATTGTCAAGGTCAAGATTGAATTTTCCCACAGATAAGTGTTCTTGGCATTTATGAAAAGCATTTCCCACAATGCCTTATGTCACCAATAAAAAAAATCAAAGGGAATAAAGACACATGCATAGGAATGTAGGATTTGCTTATTTTTCAACTCAAACATTTCAAACAGATTTTGTCGACGAAAAGTTTTAGAAAGATGTGATAATGACTGTAACATTACTCAAAAGTGAATTCCACTTTTATGGTAGCAAATGTTTGTGATCTCAGGTGTGTAATTTTTCAAACAACACCAGTGAGACACCTGTAGAACACAATGTAGTCCAATACAATAGCCAATAGATCCTACATGTGTGAAGCTTGTAATGACTTTCTGACAGGCATTGATTCAACACTGTGGTAATTTTAAGGGCTGTGGAGGTGTTGCTGTTTTGAATTGTATCATATTGTAAGGTGCTTTTCTTTCTCCTTTCTTTAATGTATGATTGTGAGACAGCAGAAAATACAAGGAAGCAGGAAGCAGAACAGTTAGTAAGTGGGAATTTCAATCATTTTGTCCATGTTCTAGGTCCAGTCGACATTACACGGAGAAATCTTTTTCTCAAAGACTCACCTTTGTAGTAGAAGAGACAGAAATCAGCCAAGACGAACCACTTCCTCTTCCAAAGACGCATCCCAGAACTGTCCTGCAGAGAGAAACAGGGACAAAGCATAATGAAGGAAGGAACAATGGGACAGAAAGTAGCACAGATTGAGGAGATAAGAAGAAAACGAAGACAGATACCTAAATAGGAAGAGAGCGGGGGGGCGATGAGAAAGATGAAGAGAGAGTTAGGGATAGAAAAGAGTAGTGAGGGACAACGGATACAGTAAGGAAACAGAAGTAATGAAAGCAAAAATGAGGTGCACATGAGCAGAGATAAAGACAGGGAACAGCAAAGAGGGGGAGGACGGGAGAGATAATTTGTCCTCGTTCACTGGCTCGCTGGGCCTGCCACGGCTGCTTTACTGCCCGTTTTGTCTTTTATGTTCTCTGGCTGAAAATGGTGCCGTTTGAAGAGGAGAGGAGATACAGAAGGGATGAAGTCACCTCAAACACAGATATATGCTTGTTCTTATGATTCTACAACCATGTTTCCCTGTGATAGTGACCAGTGTGTATCTGTGTGTGTATAGTTTATGTGTGTATATTTAAGTGTGCGTCTCCACCAGCATTTAAAGTTTAAAGTTTTTAACATAATTGCACTGCAATAACAGACATGTGTGCATACGAGCGTCTGTGGCTGTGCATTTAGCCATGTACACATTCCTGCCTGTGCCTGCGTGTATTTGTGAGTATGTGGCTCAGTGTGTGGTTATTAAAATATAATTGCTTCGCAGTAACATCACTCACTGTTTGTCTTGTACCGAGGCCAAGCGTTTTTCAGTGGGACGACGCCAACTACGGATATTTTAAGTACAACTTCAAATACAAATAGAGTCTCCAGTAATAGCCTTTCTGTGATCACCAGCAGGTGCTCTATATTGCCAAAGCAAAAAAAATAAATTATCAAGAAAAAAATAAAACTAGGCCACTGGAGGAAATGTTACAGCAGGCTGAAGCTGGAACTGGTCTTGGTTAGGGTGTCACAGAGACAAAAACTTGCCAGGCGGAAGGTGCATGCGTTGTTTCAGCTTTTTTGCTTACATTGGATCAATTATATGAATAAATTAGCTCATTTTAGGCCCCACATTTTAGGCCGATCGGAGGGATTTACGATACTGGTATCGGTATGGGAACAACTCTACCTTAATGAAGGGACCTCCCTACATGATAATTAATTAGATAATTAATATATAATGTAAATGTACAACTGTTATCTATCTGTGTGGTTATCTTTAGCAAATTTAGCAAGAAAAAAAAAAACCACAAGTGAAGAGTTTGCTTATACAGCTGGTTCTGTGCACATCTTTTGCTTCTTCCACACTGGAGGTGACATTCTATTTCACACTTACGTATTTCAGTTCAACAAGGCCTCAACTTGCCATGTGGGTGGTAGGCCCACATGTCAATTCAATTATGCTCATAACTTATGATCTTATTTCAGTAATCAGAAAGGGTTGTTTACATGGAAAATAGTCGTTCAGAGTCTTAGATTTGGAATATGTCAGTCCAGAAAATATAATGAATATCACAATGCAAACCCAGTCAAATGCAATCTTGATTTGTATGC